AAAGATTCTTATCACCGCTAATTTTTTAATTTTTATATTTTTATAAAATTTATTTTTAAACAATTTTTTGTTCTATTGTTCTTTTAGGCTTTTATTTTAATTTAAAAAATTTTTTCTCAAAAATATTGGGATATTCCTCGGTGAAAATTCGTTCCAGTCTTGAGGCTATATTTTAGGCCATACCTTTTTTGTTAAATAATGAAAGTAGGATATAGCAGGGCCATTTTTGTTAGTTACACCTATTGGCCCAAAATGTGGCCTGAGACAAGCAGCTACCGTATATGCTCTAATAATTACCCTGGGTAATCATTGTTTCAACCTTTCGCTGAAGGGAGTAATTAATAGAGCGGGGGTAATTATTCGAGAGAGGGTAATTAATAGAGCATATACGGTATATTGAAGCATCTTTTTTAATTAAAAAAAATAAATCGTTTTAGCAATTTTCTAAATCGTTTTAACAATTTTCAGAAAAGTTTGGAGAACCTTGACATGGACACCAAGGATGTACCGTTTCCTCTTTCGTATTTCGCCGAATTTTTGACGTTTTTGGTGTTTCGACTCTACTTTTGTCTTTCGCTTTCTAAAATCTGTTTCGGCATACCCCTATTGGACACCTTCTAAGTATTCCCATAAATTCTGTATAAAATCTTCTTCAATTAAATTTATCTACCTAAATTGTGCAGACCGGAGATTATTTGAAAGGTTCTCCTACTTTTCTGAAAATTGTTAAGACGTTTATTAAATTATAATTTTTATTTATCTTTTTGCTCATTTCTATTTTATCATACATACTACAAGATTGTATGTTGAAATTAAAAATATAAATCGAGATACCATAAAATTTTGCAAAAAAATTTTTTTAACGGAACTAGTCAACGTCTATACTTTCTAGCTTTTACTAAGACGTTCAAAAATTATTTTCTGCTTTTTTTTATTGATAAGCAATATTTATTTATTGATAACCACTCCTTTATTTAAACACGCCTAAAATAAGCAACACTCAAAAATTCCTTAACGCCTTATTTTTTGAGGATTTTTTCTATTTTTTTGTCCTTATTTTCAATAAATCTAGGAGTATCACCGCGGGGAACCTAAAAATAATCTTCCCTAAATTCTCATATGATGAAAGAAACGTAAATTTAAAAAATTTTATTTTTTTCCTGTCTATCAATCACTCGAATGCTGGTTTTCAATCGAAAAATTTTTTTTTGAAATTTTTGAAAATTTTTGAAAAAATTTTTTTTGAAGATTTTTTTTGAAAATTTTTGAAAATTTTTTGAAAAAATTAAAAAAAATTTTTTTTAATTTTTAGAAATTTTTTAAAATTTTTTTTTTGAAAATTTTTTTTCAAAAATCAATCCTTTCTAAGCCTCTATTTCACACACACATATTTTTATTTATGCAACAACCCCCTTATTTTTTGATTGCTTCTTCATTTCCTAATCCAATTTATCAATCAACATTCCATTTATTTTTTCCTTTATTTAATGGCCATCTCTCTCTTTTACAAAATATTTTTTTATTTTCGATTTTCTATTCGCGCTAACATTTTTAATTTATTTTTATAGGTAAATTAATGTAGGAAATTAATTTATTTTTTCAAAAATTAGCTACCCCTTAAAATTAGCTAACCCCTAACAATAACTATTAGTTTAGCCTTGTGGACCTAATTATTATAAGGGGTTAAAAGACTGATTTATAAAGAAGCGGATCCCGGGAAATCCACGTATATTTGAACCGAAAATTTCCGGATATTCAAAACTTTTTTGTTTGAATATCCGGATTTAAATATCTACTGTTCGTAATAACTACTCGAATCAGGGATGTCACGGGGTGAGAAAAATGTCGGGTCAGGTTTCGGGTAACCCGTGACCTCCCTGATTCGAATATCTATCTTTGGTTCGGATATTTACTGAATTTAACCTTCTCTTTTAACAAATTTTAAGCTTTGATCTCCCCTTTTCTTCTGTATGAAAAACTTGGCAACTTACGAGAGTTGTTACATTTTAAATTATAAACAGCAAATCAAAAATTACTGATACTTTGTGAAGAAAGCAATATCAAAAACTAATCGTCTTAAAAATTTTAGGGCTAATCACTAATCATCGGGTTAAAATATAAAATTAAAAAAAGAATGAAATATGTATAACTGTTCGCATTCGAAAATTTTTATAAACTCCTTGTCGTCACAGTCCTCTCTCAAATAATTACCTCCTCCTTATTAATTATCTCCTTCTAGCCAAATGTTGAAACAATAATTACCCAGGGTAACTATTTTAGCGTATTCGGTAAATTTCACTCATTACGAAATAAATTCCGGACTGTTTTATCTTTTATTTGCTCAACTTTTAACAGTATTCCCCCCTAAAGCATCTTAACTTTCCTTTAAGATGCTTTAAAAATTTTAATTTTTAAATTTACTGATTATTTACTAAGAATTTAAAAACTATTAAAAAATTTATTTTTTAATATTCTATTTTTGTGTCAAGTCACACGATATTCCTTTAAAATTTCCTCTAAAAATTTTCTTTAAAAAAATTTATTTTCTGATTTAAATAAGGAAATAAATACACAAGTAAATCAATCATTTAATCGTTATTTTCTTTAATTTCTCCATTCCTGCTTTTGTTGATTTTTTATAAATATGGCCCAGTTGTTGACAAAAAAAAATGCCCATTTTTGGGTAGTTAATGGAGCGTTAAATATATTTTTTTATTTTTGGCTTGGGAAAAGCTTTAAATAATATTTTTAAGGAAAATTTTTGAATATTTTTTTATTTAAATGGAGATGATTTTGTTAGAAATGAGAGGGTTTTTAATATGTTTAATAAATTCAACCGGTTACCGAGCTTTGAGGCCATTAAGCATAACTTTTTTGTTCTAAATTTAAAAGTTATTTTAAAATTTTAAAAATCATGCTTAAAACAGACTTATCTATTTTAAAACTAAGAACATCAAACAGAGGCTACCGTATGTGCTCTAATAATTCCCCTAGGGGGGGGGGGTTTCAATATTTTCATTGAAAATTTTTTATTATTTTTTTTATTTTTTAACAATATTTGTAATATTTTTTCAACTCATCCCTGGCATGGGGAATTAATAGAGGGTGGGGAATTATTCGAGGGTGGAGGATTAATCGAGTAAATACGGTAATTTAGAAAAGTTATGATCATTGATATGTTGTTTGCTGCCATACTCTTTTAATTTTTTCAAAATTTGTCATCAAAAGTTTCTTCCATAAGATCCCATATTTTTAACTTTAACTCTGCTTAAACCTTCGGAAGTTGTTTCAAAAAGTTTCCCATTTTTTGACTCAGATTTATTCTTTAATTTAACGTCTAAAATTTAAAAAAGGATGGATCAGTTTCCGCCTTCCGCAGAATTCCGTTTTTTGGTCCTTGAGCGTGCCTTCCAATTTTTAAAATTGAAAATTATCCATACTTGCTGCATTTATATTTCTTTATAATTTTTAAAATTTTCTTTAAACTTGTTGCTTAAATTTATTATTTAATTAATAAAAAATTTTTTTTCAATTTTTTCTTTCTCAATTTTCCCTTTAATTATTAATTAACTTTTTCTTTTCTTATTTTAATTTTCTTGTTTAAATGCTTTCTTTTCTCCCATTGTCTTTTTATGCCAAAACCCCTCACGTCTCCCCACGTCTCCTTGGTGAACGGCTCTTTAACAGACTTGAAAAAAAACTTTTTTGCCAAAGATTTTTTTCCTTTTTCATTTTTTCCTTTCATTATTGAAGCCTTAACTTAATTTTTAATTTTTTTGTTGTCATTTAAATTTATTTTTGAATAATTTTTGTAAGGATTCCAGACGTAAATACATAATTTTTACTAAAATAGCAAAAAGAAATTTTTCGTCATTCATTTTTTAGTAGTAATGATTAGAAGCCGTAAAGGAATTTATTCTAGGACTTAGGCTTTTCCCGAAAATTTTTTTCTAAAATTTTTTTGGCATTATTCGTTATTTTTCCTTATTAGGTTTAAGCATCCTTCTTTGCGGAAAAATTCTCTTCTCTTTCGCCCAAGGTCTCAGATTATCCAAAACTCGAAACCTCGAAACCTCTCGATGAGACGCAGCGAATGAGCCTTAAAAATTGCATATGTTTACCCATAATTCCATTAACTAGTGAAAGATAAATGCTTAGGATTTAAGAGATATTCCCTGCTATTTTTTGAATTCGTTTTTATTATTTTTACAAAAATTTTTTCTTTAACTTTATTCTATTTTTATTCATTTTTAAGCGCTCAGAATCGCAACAACAACAAAAAGAAAAAAATAAAAATAATAATTTCTCTCCTTCCCCTCAACAACAACTTTCTCCAAAATTTTCTGATAAAAAACAATCATCCCCCTCGTCAGCAGCCATTGGCCGACACACCGCTGTGCCAGTGCTCCCACCGAGCACGCTTTTATCTAATGGGCCTAAACCACGTCTTTGCCTTTTAATTAAGGGAAGGTAAAGAGAAAAGAAATTTTTTAAATTGAATTTAAGAATGAAATAACTGTCGGACCTTGTTTGTAAATATTCCTAGGAGACTGAAAATTTAGGTTATCTTCTATTGTAGGGTTGTTTTATAATGAGATGTCCTTATGGGAGGTTACCTTACAATAAGGCGCATCCTAAACTGAGGTCATCCAGTATAGGATGCTCGGGAGAAGAAAAAACCCGGGAATCTGGAAACGGGAGTTGGGTCGGGAAATGACCTCGGGAGTCGGGAGGCTAAAAACTCGGGAAAATTTTCCGATCGGGAGTCGTGTATTCAGTATAGGATGTCTCTTGTATAATAAAGTCTGACTATTAGAATTGTTCAATTAATCACACCCTTTTAAGTCCAAGCCAAGAATTCGGCTTCAGTTTGCACGCTGAAGGCAACGGGCATTTTATTGGGGCAGTCGATTCTGATGGAATTGCGGAGAGAGCTGGATTGGTGAAATTTAAGTTTTTTCCTATTTTTATTTAAATTCCCCAGGTGACAGGGCAAAGAATTGTTGGAGTAAATGGCCATTTGGTATATCCGAATACTTCTCATATGGTAAATTTGATATTTTACTAGTGTTGCGCCGGAAGCGAAATTTAAGGCAGAATAAGCCTGTAGGATAGGCGAGATTTCGTTCACAACGGACATGTGTTTTACCAACGAGAGGGCGACTTTTTTCGACCAAAAATAGGACCAACCTCTTCTCAACCCTTCCGATTGACTGCCTTTACTTTTTTTAATCTCCTTTCACTTTTAAAACCAGGCTAGTAAGTAGTCGGATAAGCAGTCGGACTTCCTTCTTCCTTATAACGGGAACCGGAAGTGACTCGCAATTAAACAAATCGGAACTAAAAATCACAGAGTTTCCGACGAAGCAATTAATTAAACCCTTATTAATTAAATTTTAAAAAGGATATTGTGCAAATTATTCAAAGAGAACCTCTCCGAACAGAATTACTTGTTGCATCTGAACAAGTTGATCGTTTTTATAAAGAATATGGACTTGGTTCGGTTATTTTTTTGAAAGAAAACAAAATTTTTTGTAGCATTCTCTTATGACTACGTGCAATTTTATGACCCCGTTGTTATGCGCAATGGAAATGGGAAACCCCCACAGTTGGGTGGAGCAGCTGCAACTCGTCCCAAACAATCCCCCAATGCTGTGAAGGTGAACAGACTTGTTTTAGCTTTTTTAATTTTCTGGTTTCAGAACCAAAATTATGAAAAAGGAAAAGCTGTGCAAAGGAGTAGAAGTGGGAGTCGATCTGTGGAAAGGAACCCTTCTAATAAAAATGTAAAAATTAATATTAAATATACTAGAGACCGGACTTGGACGGTTATACAGCAATTGAGTTCGTATCTCAAAAAATACCGATCTCGATACTGAGATTTTTGTTTGAGGTAGCTTAATGCTACGATTACTTGGCTTAATTAACAAGCTATATTGGCCTCTGGTTACAGTAACATCTGGAAATAAGGCAGGAGAATATTATTCCAGCATTAAGCATCCCCCATTTCCACCATCTTATACCGACTTCCCCTTTCTGCTTTAATGGTTAACAAACATCCGATAAGCATCTGTCGACAACTGTCTTTATACCCGGCATTATCCCCTCTTGTCCAATTTCTCTCAAAAATAAACAAAGAAAAATTACTTTCAGAATGGCCATGCTATACGTGGACGTGGTCAATCACTTGGTAAAAGGCCCCCAACACCTTCAACAACTTATTTGGTAATTCTAAAAATTTAGTTGCTAGTTAACGCCTATTTCCTTTTCATTCTTTTTTGCTTTACTAATTGTTCAACTATATTTAATCACGCTTTACTAATTTCCAAACACTTTTCTCTATTTCTTAGTTAATTTATAATCACTTCTAGCCTTTTGAAAAACCTCATTAAATAATTGTGAAAATGATTCGACTAGATCTCGGCAGAACTCTTTGAAAAAGCTTTCTAAAAAGTCAAAAAGATATCGGATCGAGCCGAGCCCTAATTACAACCATTAAAAAGGGTGCTCTGAGCAGATTCTCAAATCACCCAAATAGTAGATGTAGAAGAGGCTCCTCATATTATAACAAGTTAAAATTTCATTCTAAAATCGGAAGCCTTTCAGAATATAACAGACATAACCCTATCTTTATTAACAAATATATTCCCCCAATTAACACGTTTTAATGGGAGTCATCTTTTAAATATTTTCAAGTCCTCCTCTGAACAAATTAATGGACATGTAGCCGTCCAAATTGAAAAACGTTCGGACAACATGACTTCTATTGAAATTGGAGAGGTTTTAAAAAAAATATTTTTTTATTCAAAAAAAATGAAAAAATGTCTAGATTGACGACTCCGAACCAACAAAAATAATTGACGAAAATTCTCAACATTTATTTGGTGTTGGCACTCCTCCAAGCAGTAGATGCGAGGAGAAGTTGAAAAATGGGCATCATTCTGTTAAAAATGGAGGAGGGAAAATTACTAATGGAGTAGCTGGGAAAGGAGGAAGAGGAGTTGAACATGTCGAAAATTCTGTATAAATTTTTAAAAATATTTTGGACACAAACTACAAACAATAAAAAAATTTTGAGCACAGACTACAAACTACAAAAAATTTTGAGCACAAACTACAAACTATAAAAAATTTTTAATTAAGCACTCTGTCATTTATTTTGAATTTTTCATTTATTCTTCTTAGTTAACTGATCTGTGATTTTAGTTTTAAATAAAAAAAATTTTTTTAAAGAAGCATGTAATAGCTGATGGGCCTGTTTATTCAACTGATTCTTCTGTTAAACCGCCTCATCCAATTGCCGCCCCTAGAACTACTCCTAGACCCGAACGGCGGTACTCACCCCCTCAACCATTAGAAATTTATCATCCTTCCCAACTACAACAGGCAATTTTTTTAAAGTTTGAAAGAATGGGGGTTAAAGATGGAACTTGAAGTACCATCGGGCCTCACCTGTGTCCACACCCTTGGGTTGTCTCGATTCCCGAAAATTAGGAATTCACCATGTTTTTGTGTCTAGGTATTTTCAAAATTGGGTGAACATACATGCTTCTGAACCCAGAAAACACAAGAAAAAATTAAATTAAAAAATTTGGAACTCGGACCAGACATAAAAAAGATCCTCGTTCGGTCTCGGAACTAGGACTAGAACTTCTGACATACGAGAAAATGGTCTGAGAGACAACTTAAAAGCTCCTTTCGAGGAAACCTCCATCTTGGGCAGAAATTTTGGGCAGAAAATTCGAGTGCCATTTATAGGTCTTTACTTAACCTAAATTCAATTTTAGTATGATCCAAGCCCGCTTTCTCTCCAATCAGACTCTACTCAATCAAGAACTAGTCTTTACAAAAGTCGAGGTAATTGACCAAAAAATAAATTAAATAAAATTTATTTTTTAGATTCCGAAAAGAGTATTTTTGCTTTAAATGCAAAAGAAGCCCGCCAATTAATTTGTTATAGAAAAAAAGATCCTCGTTTGGCTGAACAAATGTCTTTGGGTAAAAATGAATATATTTTACTTAATATAATTTAATTTTTTTAGAAGAAAAACATCGACTAATAATGGAGCTTTGAAAAGAATTTTAAAAATATTGTAAATTATTTTTACATAGAAAAAATTTCTCTAACTTCTATAATTTTCTCTTATATTTCCCTTATCTCTAATAAACTTTTGAATAAATAAAATTTGTTTTCTTAAAAAATATAAAATTAAAGGTAATATGTATAAAATCGTGTCGGGCTAACTCACGGGACGGATAAGTCACGGTATGACTAAAATACGGAATAATTTAAAAATAAAATTTTTTTGAAAAATCTGAATATTTTTAAAAAATAGCCTGTCAAATTTTCAAGGAAAGGGAAAATATATTTTTTAACATTCTGAAAATTTTACATATTTAAAATAAAAGACATTAATGCGCAGAAAATTACTATAAAAAATTTAATTGAATTTTTGTAAACTATATCCCACAAAAAAAATATTAAAAATAAATGACAAAAACATTCAAAAGACCGTATTCTCTAAATGAAAGGAAAATCACCTTAATTTAAAAGGTATGATTTTTCCAGCCTTAAAAGATCTTAAATTTCTTAATAAAATAGCGGATATTATCGCCAAGTAATAATGTTAAATAAATTGAAATAAATAAGAAGGCTAGCATTCTAATTTTAATGAAGTAAATTTCAGTCTTGATGTCTCCAGGTTCATATTTGATTTCACCAAGTATTGATTTAATTTCGTATTTGTTGTCATGAATATTTTGTTTTATGTCCCGTTTAAGTGAAGACAGTTGATTCTAAATATAAGAATTTTTTCTTTAATTTTAGCTTCGGATAGGGTACTTCCGTCTCCGTTTACTGTCACATAAACGTCCCCTTTCAATTAGGGCTGTCGAATCCGGATTCGAAAAAAGGCAAGATATCGGGGAATTTTCGGTTCGGATATCGGATATCCAAGGATTTCCAACTATTTGACAACCTTACTCCCTATGCCCATCTACTTTCTACCTAAGATACATAAATAGTTTTTCCGTTTCTGTCAGCTTTCAGCTATTATATTATATTTGTTATGTATTATATGCAGCAATTTTCATAGCTTGACCAGGGTGGCCCTTTTACCCTATTTCTAGAGGATTTTCCCTATTTTTGACCTTTTCGCCCTATTTTTTCCCTATTTTCTCATTTGCCATATTTTTGCCCTATTTTTACAATCTTGTAAAATTTAAAAAATTCTTCGGATTTTGTTTAAAAAATGGTAAAAATGAAGGATTTCTGACTTCTTGGCCTTCCAAAATCTTCAAAATTTTTGCCCGCGGCGCAAAAATGGAAGAAATTTGGCTTCTAGCCTCCCAAAATCCTCAAAATTTTTGCCTGCGGCGCTAAAGATGGGTGAAATGTGGCTTCTTGGCCTTCCAAAATTTTCGCTTTATTTTAAATTTTAATTATTTTTAAGCTTTTAAAGCTATGCCCTAATTTTTGCCCTATTTTTGGCCGATTTCGCCCTATATTTGCCCTATTTTTGAGTGGCTGCGCCCTATTTTAGTGTTTTGGAAGGGGCCACCCTGAGCTTGACCCTAAAATATATCCTTAAATTAATTGAGGGCTTGGAGTCATTTTACGATTAAAGAGGCAGTGGACAATCCATCAGTGGATTCAAATGATAAAAATATAACTTATTCAGTTTATATTTTGGAAAAGTTAATGTCGATCAGAAATTTAAAAAAGGCGAAACAGCAAAAGATCCAAAAAAGTTTTTAAATTTTACCTCCATCTTCCACTCTATTGAATCAAATTTTGAATTTATTTCATCTCGAAAAGAATCAAGTTCTTGATTAAATAAATTTAAAGAATGTTTAAGTTGTTGGTTATTCTAAAAATTTTTAAATTTTTTTCAAATATTTAATTAAAAACACCTCAGTATTGTAAACAAATTTTGAAGAAAATTTTCTTTTAAATAAATTAATTGTTGTTGTTTTTCTAGGAAAATAAAGGCAACGTTGAATTGAAAACATGCCTTTCTTTAACTTTAAAATTTTTAATCTTGAATAATATTAAAATTATTCATTAGAAAATGATGAAAATTGACAAAAATTAAAATATATGATTGTTTAAACAACCCAAAAATTTAATAGGTAAAGACGAGAATATTTAATTTTATCAACAAAAATGAAAATATAGGTAGACGAAACAGTCCATTAACGCATACAACCTCTTTAATTATTAGGGTTGGGGTTTTGAATCGGGCCGAAGTTAAAGTCATTCTTTTCGGGCCGGCCCGACCGAGTCTTTTTCGGGCCAAAATTCGAGGCCCGACCCGATCTTTCGGATCGGGCCCCCAACCCTATTAATTATGCTAAGAAGATCTACTTGAACGGTACCTTCATTTTAGGCATAGTACCAATTTAATTTCCAGCCCCAATGTTATCTCTAAATGTTCGGTTCGCTATAAAAGACACCCATCATGTTTAGATCCAAAAATTCCCTTTGACGATAGGTTAATAAAAATAAAGAAATAAATTTAAATTTTCCCAAATAAAATTTAGTGGGAAGTTTTAATTAAACGAAATTTTTTAAACACTTTTCTAAAATATCGCTATTGCCATTATCATCAATATCTCCACAAAAATAAATCCAAAGCCTAAATTCAAATATAGCTCAAATTTAATATTGTCAACATCAATTTTGATGAATAAAGGGTGATTCGTTAATTTAAGAAGTTGTGATAAAATTTGCCGTTTGTTGTCAGAAATAGTGCTTTTCATGTCACTTTTAAGAGTACACAGTTCATTCTAAATGAAAAATTTTTGTAATAAAAACAAATTTTTTGGGCTCGTGTTTCATCTTGTATCCGATGCGTAAATTAAATGAAACCTCTCAAATTAATTTTGAGTCTGTAAAAGTTCGGATGGTATACCCCATCTCTTTTCTGACCATTTTTTCCTCTCCTTTCTCCCTTATTTTTAAGAATCAAGTTTCAAAAAGGAGGGTACAGCCCAAGTAGGCGCAAAGTCATAACCTCTTCAAGATTTCTGAATCTTTCAAAATTTAGTAGTAAGCGATTCCTCTCATCGAACTAAAGAGATTGCTACTAAAATTGTTACGGTAAAGAAATTTTCCAACTAGTTATGGCTCTGCGCCTACTTGGCCGCGCGCCTACTTGGGTGTATCCCAAAAAAGGATTGAGTAATGAGGTATACGGTATCCGAACTTTTACTTGAGTTTTTCGGATTTTTTTTAAATTTTCTACCTTCATTTCTCGTTCTGTTGAATCAAATTTTGAATTCATTTTATCTCGAAAAGTATCAAGTTCTTGATTAAATAAATTTAAAGAATGTTTAAGTTGTTGGTTATTCTTAAAATTTTTAAATTTTTTTCAAATATTTATTTAAAAACACCTCAGAACTGTAAACAAATTTTGAAGAAAATTTTCTTTTAAATAAATTAATTGTTGTTGCTTTTCTAGGAAAATGAAGACAACGTTGCATTGAAAACATGTCTTTCTTTAATTCAAAATATTAAATATCTAAATCACTTTAAATCACTTTAAAAATTAATTTAAGTAATTTAAATGTTCTTTAAACATTAAAATAAGGCTAAGATAATTAGCTAAATATATTTAAGTATATGAAAACGACAATATAATGAGAAATTAATACAATGGAATTCACTATAAGGACACAAATCGGGCATAATTTTTGCTATGTAAGAACGTAGGTGACGCCTAAAGAAAGTTAAATTAGGCTAAAATATGTATATTGAAAGTGCCGTGGGATGTGGCGTCATGATAGAGATTCGTTAAATTTCGTTTGGGGGTCCAAACTCCGATATGTTGATATACAGAATATGCCTCTCTCAAAAAAACCCTTACTCAATTACCATCTCTAGAGAGAGGTTGAAACAATAATTACCACGGGTACCTGGGACGAAAGGAACCAAGATCAGTTTGCGGTCTCAAATATAAACTCAAATATCAGGGGTGTCCCGAAACAGATTTTAAAAAGCGAAACGCGAAATTCGAAAGGCGAAATTAAATTTAAAAGCGAAACACCAAACTGGACCCCTGTTAAATATGTATAGGACAAGAACACTATCAAATAAGTGCCGTTAAAGGTGTCGTATAAGTGAAATCAATTTAGTATATAAGTAAAAAATCGAATAAATCAAACAAGATTTTCCAAAATTTAAACTTCCTTCATTTCTTCTTATAATCAACAAAACTTATTTCCGCTCTTTGGCAATACGATTTAAAAGTTCCAGGATTGCAATAAAAATAATACAGCACCCTCCAATAAAAGCAAAAAACATCCCCCCAACATAAAACTTAACTACAACAAGTTCCCTCTTTAAGGCATCAAAATCTTTATTAATCTTATCAGTTTCTTCATTAACTTCTTTTATGCCTTTTTCATTTTCAGCCTTGATATCATTTTTAAATTTAACAATTTCTGTCTTAAATTTTATAAAATAAATTTTTAAATTCAAAAAACAATTCATTTGCGGAAGATAGTTGCAGACACGGGGCTACCATTGGCTAGGGAGGATTAAGCGATATAAATTAAGTTAATTTATCACTTATTATATACATAGGTGATACTTATTATCCTTATTATATAGGTACATAGTCTATTCAGCCCATAATGGTATCATAATGTGTGCAAGTAATTTGGGTTACTATCTTTTTTGTCAAAAATTATGTATTTGAGTGTTTAACGTCAGCTCATTATTAAGGTTGTCGATTCTAGACCGAACCGAGAATTTTCGGTTCAGTTTCGGATAACCGAAAAATTTCCATGAACCGATACCCAACTCATTATAGGAAAATAAAAATTCAGCAAATGTCCGCAAATATCAATCCGCAAATGGCCCAATTTAAGAACCTTCATTTGTGTATTCAAAGCCTCAAATTTACAATTAATTTCAAATTGCATAGATTTAACTTGGTTAGTAAGCAAATTAATTGTGCTTGTTAATTGGTCCTCATTAGGTTTTGTATTGTTTGTCTTTGTCTAGTAAATAAGGAAAGGGATTAGGAGGTTTTGATTTGATTGTTGATAATTATTTAAAAATAGGTAGAGCATTTTAATTATGTTTTAAACACTAAATTACCTCAGTAGCAAATTTCCTAACAAATGTAGTCATACTACGCGACATGCAAAAACAACGACGGTTAATAACAAACATATTTTTAATTTTAAAATAAAATAAAAATAACTAAACATCATAATTGTGGAATAAATAATTAATGTCGGTTCGGATCAGAACCAGATAATTTTTGGGGTGCGTTTTCAGTTGTGTTTCTGATATCAAGATTTTCCAAGAAACAACAAATTAAATTAGAAATGAAATTTCAGAGTTCAAAATATAATTTCAAAAAACATTTTAAGCAAAAGAGCTCAAAATGGTCAATAAACAGGAAAAAGGGCTATTTCACCAATGTGATGAGTTGGATATTCCCTGATACTATCCGTAAAAATTTCCTACAAATAAAAGCGATTCCAACTTCTTTCGGAGTAAAACATGTTAATATTGAACGAAATCCACTGACACATGAGATAGAACTATGTACTATAACAGGAGTTTTAAATTCCCGAAAGTATCAGTAAAATTTCAGTAAAATTGCTCATTTCCCCAACTTATTTCGGATCAAAACGGCCTAATCAAAATGAAAATTGGACGCAAATATCTAAAAATATTTACTAACATTTTTAAGAAAAATTGTGTTGAGTTAATGAATGACCTAGACTTTATATAGACAACATATGCCCTACTTTCTATTTACTTTAAGCAATTAATATTAAAAAAGATTATGAATAACCTTATTAATTTTATGAGAAGGAAACGGCAAAATTAAGTTGCGTAGGTATATTTTTTTAAATTATGCTCATGAATTTAAAATAGCTAGTGTAGTCTGTTCCTTAGACCCTGCCGACAAAAAAAATAAATTCATGATTACATCGAAGAAAATTGAAGCAGTTTGGGAACTGGTGTATATTTTAATACTGGGGGTTATTTTAAAACTAAAGATTATTAGAAAGAGCACATTTCACTTAATAATACTAAAAATAATCCAAGTTATCCAAACGAATTTTTCTCGAGATATGCTATTTTAAAGGGTTCCGTGACTTTTGCGCCGAGAACATTTGCGCCGCGACACTTGCGCCGCGACACTTGCGCCGCGACTTTTGCGCCGCGACTTATGCGCCGGGCGACTTTTGCGCCGGGGAACATTTGCGCCGCGACTTTTGCGCCGCCACTATCATTAAAAATATATAGATAACTACAGCCGAACCTCACTTTAGTAGTGTTGTCGGATAGTTGAAAATCCTCGGATATCCGGATCCGATATCCAAACTGAAAATTTCGGATATCCGGCCTTTTTCGGATCCGGATTTTTTAAAAAATGGCGGCGCAAATGTCGCGGCGCATAAGTCGCGGCGCATAAGTCGCGGCGCAAATGTTCTCGGCGCAAAAGTCGTGATACCTTTTAAAGAAATTTTCAGACAGTGTAGATAAACTTTTGTAGTTGCAAACGTCGTCCGCAAATGTCTTTTTGCCTGCTCTCCTTTACCATCTTTGCAATTTTTATTAATTTTTTTTCTCGCTTAATATTTCGCTTTAAAATCCCTCAATATCCTTTAAAATCCCCCTCTCGTCGAGACTCTTTAGTTTAATATTTTGGTCAAAAATCGATACCTTTACAACAAAAAAAGCGAAGAAGCGGCCACAAAAAGAGCGTGCCCGCTCAACTCATCGAATCCTTAACTCATCGAATCGACCAAAAACGCTCAACTCATCGAATCGGCTAAAATTCCTTAACTCATCGAATCGGCCAAAAACACTCAACTCATCGAATCCTTAACTCATCGAATCCTCAACTCATCGAATCGGCCAAAAACGATCAACTCATCGAATTTTTCCAAAAGGGGACGTTTGAGTCCCCTGTTTTTATTTTTCTCCCGAAAGGGCTAACTGAATCTTCGTTGAAAAAATTTTTTGCTGCTATGGAGGCTAGGAAAAAGGGCTTTTGGGCATAATCGGGGTCTACTGGACTAATTTGGTCCGGTTTTACCCGGTAAAATCTCCAGCATAATTTATTAGGAATGAGATAATGTTTTCAGGAATGAGATAATGTTCTGATAATGTTTTCACTGGCCGGATAAACTTGGATGAGTGCCCGATCAACTAATTAACAAAATTAGTTGAAACCCCAGAAGAAAACAAAAAAAAACAAAACAATAAAAAATCTAAAAAATAAACACGGGGACTCAAACGTCCCCTTTTGGAAAAATTCGATGAGTTGATCGTTTTTGGCCGATTCGATGAGTTGAGGATTCGATGAGTTAAGGATTCGATGAGTTGAGTGTTTTTGGCCGATTCGATGAGTTGAGGATTCGATGAGTTAAGGATTCGATGAGTTGTAGGGTAGCCCAAAAAGAGATAACCCGCCAGCAAGGCAAATAATGTGTCTCCGTCCGTAGAGAGGGTGTATTAAAAGTTGGGGGGTTTTTAAGTATTTCTCTATCTACGTTTTTACAAAGAAAGTAAGAGAAAACCCCCCAAAAGTGTGTAGAAGTATTTTTATTTTTCGTTGTTCCTCTTTGAAGGAATGGGCTGACGGAAATTTTATCTGTGAGTGTATTTGCCTATCCATTCTTTTTTTTTACTTCATTTTACTACTACTTTGACAATCCCAAAGGGATGGGAAAATATATTTACAAAATTGCTCTAAAATAGACGTGAAGAAACACGTATTTTTCCGGAATGTGGATGTTTTCATCTTTTCAGAACGTGAAACTAACATTTAAACAAACGTTTCTGTATTCTTCTAATCTTTTCGTCTTTTTCAATTTTAGATTTAAAAATTAGGATACACCCCAACGTACCGCGAGGCCAAGGTGCCGCCGAGCCATAACTTTGTTCAAAATTGTCGAATCCGGGACGCCCTGGTATGGTTCGATTCAGCTCGTCTAGATGCATCGAACCATACCTGGCGTCCCGGATTCGACAATTTTGAACAGTTATAGCTCGTAGGTACCTTGGCTTGTTCCCATTTAAAACTAATTTATACTTGTAATCTCTTCGTCTTTTTCAATTTTTAGATTTAAAAATTATTTGTTGAGCTTTTTAAAATTGTTTTAGATTCACTTTACCTCTTAAAATTCCAAGTTTAGGGGTATTTCTTAATTGTTCTTGATTCAAAATTTTTACTTAATATTGCCTAGAAATATAATGGTTTTTAGTCCCTTTCCTTCTCTTCGGGGCAAAAGATTATCAGCAAAAGATTATCACAATAAAACGTGATAATTTAATGTCTCTCATATTTCCTGATTGTTTATTGAAACCACCACTGAAATTAATATGTTAATCCTTGTTCTTACACAATAAATATACTGCCTACATATTATAGACTTGCAAACTTAAATTTATTACAATTTTCAGATATAATCAGTTATGTTGCATTTTTGGTTAAATAAACTTTTTTCAATTATTTTATATTTTACAAACAAACTTCTAGCCATTTCAAGTTCAAACTTAAAACTTGAAAAATATACTATTAAAACTTGAGACAAACTTAAAAACTTAAGTTTATACTTAAATAAACTTTTTCCGCTACAATTTTAAAGTGTTATTAAGTTTACAAACTTAAGTAAGCTCAAACTTGAAGATTAACTTAAAACTTAAGTTTGTTCGTTTAGATTAAAATTTACTGTTCTTTGCTCGCTAGAAAATTTATAGTTTACAAACTTGAATAATCTCAAACTTAAAACTTGAGACAAACTTGAAACCTAAGTTTACTTCCTTTACCCTTAGAATTTTTATTGTTCTTTGCTCGTAAAAAATTTATAGTCAATATTTTCACAATAATACTAATTATTTAAAGCTTATTATTCAGCTTTAATCTTTAATTAACTAATTTTTATGAGAATAACAATTCTTATTGTTATGCTGGTTGATAATTCAACAGCTTATTGTTAAAGTAAGCGTATTATTTTAATTAAAAAATTATTCTTAGTTAAAAAATTTTTCTTAATTAAAAAAAAAATTTTTTTTAATTTAAATTTTTTAAAATTATTTTTAAAGTTTATTTCTCAATATTTTACCTTTTTTCGAAAATTATTGTTCCATAAATAATAAAATTGTTTTGACAAAATAATTATTTATTTTCGTTTCCTTCTCAACAAATAAAATATTAATTTTTTTTTGTCTCTTATTAAAACAAAGGATTTATTTAATATTGTGGTCATCATTTGGTTGCTAAGGGTGACCACTAAATCCCTCTCCTTTTTATTTTTAAACCAAGTCTGTCACTAACAATAAACTTCTCTTTCAAGTTTTATTTTAAAAATATAATTCGCAAACTTAAAAACTTAGAGTAAGAGAAGAAAAGTTTTAAAGAGCAAGCTTAAGTTTTAGGAAAAGAAAGTTTTAAGCTTTAAGTGTGCACTTAAGTTTTGAGTGGGGGACATTTTATGTCGCTTTTATAGTGAGGGAATGACCAAAATTATTTTTTTTAATTTATAAGAAAAATGAAAATCCCGCACACTTTGTTTATCTTTAAGTACACTTCCTTTTTTAAATTTATATGTTAAAAATTGAAATGTTTCAAATCCATTCTTGTTATTTTTAAATTATCGTCCTTTCAAATATCCTTAAGAAAAAAGCAATTTTGCATGAATATCCTAAATATTTATTATTTAAAAATTAATATTGAAAAAATACATATTAAGCAAAAATAAACAGATGTTCAAGGCTAAATTAATTTCTGATCAAGTGCAATAAAATCAAAGACCAGAGAACATTTTCTAAAGGGTTTCTTTCGGATTTTTCTTTTTTATTTTATTATCGACCAGCTTATACATATGTATCTTTATCCTTTTTTTATAAGAACTTATTTCCGATATAACCTTACCTTTAAAATTTTCTAATTATTTTTAGAAATTTTTTAAATTCAATATTTTCAAGATGCAATGACCGTTCATCGTCCAAACAATGTCCATTCAGCAGTTCAAAGGCTCAATCGTCCCCCTTCCTCTACTGGTAGGCCAAAAACAACAACAGCTTCTTCAACTTCACTAAATGTCTCTCAAATTTCTTCTCAATCAACAAGTAGTAGCTCAGGGAATGAATGTGTTAAAGTTGTTGTTAGGTCAGTCTTAAGACAATATTATCTAGCTATTCACTTAGTTTGAACAAGTCCCACTTCACTTTTAGCAATCTTATTTTCCTTCTGATAGGGGGTATTAGAAGAGGTATCCTTCTGATACCTTCTGATACCCCTCAAGGATCATGAAGTCTCCAATTATACCATCCCTCTTTTCACATATTCTGGGCTTCATAAGGGCGCTCAATCTTATCATCTCCTTTTATATGTCCCAGTTACTCTCCATCCGTCCCAAGCTTTTTCCCTCCCAAAAAAGGCGGGAAAATCCTCCCAAGTCTTTCCCTCCTTCCCAAGCTTCCCCATCCCTCCCAAGCCCTTCCCATCTTTCTTGGAATCAATTCGGGAGCTGTGGCAGTATAGAGTCAACCAGGCTAGACGTTATAACAATTATCATTTTCACTACTAATTTCATACCAGATGCCGACCTCTCTCTTCTTCCGAACATGCTCAAGGGCACAATTGTTGTGTTAACGTCGACTCCAAAAGTGGCATTATCGAATTAACAAACCCTCAATGTCCTGACGAACCAGCAAAATGTTTTTCCTTCGATTCTGCCTTTGATTTAAATTCCAAACAACTGGATGTTTACGATGAAGCTGTTAGACCAATTGTTGATTCGGTACTTCAAGGATTTAATGGCACTGTCTTTGCTTATGGTCAAACTGGGACGGGGAAAACATACACGATGGAAGGGCCGAGCGGGATTGGAAGTAGGAAAAATAAATTATTATTTGACTGGCAATTAAAGATATGAGTGATTACATGGGAATAGTGACACGGGGAGCAGGCCAAGGTACCGCGAGCCCAAGGTACCGCCGAGCTATAACTTTCTTCAACATTGTCGAATCCGGGACGCCCTGGTATGGTTCGATTCAGCTCGTCGAGACGCATCGAACCATACCAAGGCGTCCCGGATTTGACAATTTTGAACAAAGTTATAGCTCGGCGGTACCTTGGCCTTGCGGTACCTTGGGGTGTACCCGTGATCACGCTAGGAAATGACTTTACTTTTAAAGGAAAATTTTAACAAAATGCTTAAAATAAACCATAAAAAATATACTTGGGACCAGGGTGCCGATTTTACCCTATTTATAGGGCATTTGCCCTATTTTTGACCTTTTCGCCCTATTTTTTCCCTATTTTTGCATTTGCCATATTTTTGCCCTATTTTTCCATCTTGTAATATTTTAAAAATTCTTCGGATTTTGTAAAAAAAGGTAAAAATGAAGGATTATTGACTTCCTGGCCTTCCAAAATCATCAAAATTTTTGCCTGCGGCGCAAAAATGGAAGAAATCTGTCTTCTTGAGCTCCAAATTTCAAAAAATTTTCAGCGCCTGCGGCGCTGAAAATTAAAAAAAATTCTTTGATTATGTCCGATTTTCGAGATTATTTTTTTGAATTTCAATTTAAAAGATTTTCAATTCGATATTTTCGAAATTTTTTCGATTTACGATCCTCGAAAAATATGTTTATTTGGAAACAGATCTGATCCCTATGTGCTCAACTTTGTTAAAATTAGTAAAATATACAAAATACTGCTTTTTTATATAAGATTTTAATTAATCTTTAATTTTTTAAATCATGCCCTATTTTTTGCCCTATTTTTGACCAATTTCGCCCTATTTTTGCCACATTTTTGAGTGGCTGCGCCCTATTTTAGTGGTTTGGAATCGGTCACCCTGCTTGGGACTGGAAAATAAATAAGCGAGATCTAGAAACGGCTAGTATTTATCAGTGCTGGGTATGTCTCTTAGATCTAACTTCGGCCAAGAATTTGAAAACGTCGGAGGCAGACCACAAAACGCCCAATACTCGGCATTGGTAATCATAGCTACCACATTCAGGTGCCTCACCAACTATGCTAACTTGGCGATTACTGTCCTCTCTTTTTTAATCCACCCTCTAAGCTTTCTAAATTCTGGTCTTTTATGTAGATCTTCAATTAAATTAAATATTTTCTGTTCAGAGAACATTGCTTCAGATCAAAGAGGTGTCATTCCCAACTCCATAGATCAAATATTCCAACATATTGCTCAATCACCCCCTTCCCTTCAATATCTAGTACGTGCCTCTTTTTTGGAAATATATCAAGAAGAAATTCGCGATCTTTTAGACAAAAGTGGGGGAACTGGTAAATATTTTCCTTAAAAATTGACTAAAAAATTGTCAAAAATTTCCTTTAGGAAAGCGCTTAGAATTGAAAGAAAGGCCAGATGTAGGTGTTTATGTACGCGATTTGAGTTCATTTGTTACTCAAAGCGTTGAAGAGATTGAACATGTATTAAAAGTTGGCCATTCTAATCGAAGCGTTGGAAGAACCAATATGAATGAACACAGCTCTAGATCACATGCCATTCTTGTTTTGACTGTGGAAAGCTCTGAAATCGGGCCGGATGGGCAGCCACATATACGAGTGAATTTTTTAAAAATATTTAAGTGAAGATGGCTTAAATTTTGACTTATGGAGAAGGCTTGATTGTTAATGTTCTGCTAAGAGAGATAAATTAGGGCATTTTTCATGTGATACGAGGAGAAGGATCATGATTATACATACAACAGAACCATAAATATTTAAATACGTCATAAGTATAGTATCAAAATTGCTCAACCCGTTGTGCCATATAGGCTATATGCCTATACGGCTGGTTATATAGCTACGGTTATTTCGGAATTCTCATTTCCATATTATTTGAGATAGCTTGAAAATTTGCTTATGTCCTACAGAAAAAATTAAATTTAATTTAAGGTTGGCCGCTTAAATTTGGTTGATTTGGCTGGCAGTGAGCGCCAAAGCAAAACAGGCTCTGAAGGTCAACGATTTCGAGAGGCTACAAAAATCAACCTCTCCCTGTCTGCTCTAGGAAATGTTATTGCTGCTTTGACAGATCAACAAAGTTCTCATATTCCTTATAGAGATTCTAAGTTGACTAGATTGTTACAAGACTCCCTTGGCGGGAATTCTAAAACTGGTAATATTTCTTTTTAAATATCTGATAGCTTACCATGGCGGAAAATTTTTTCAAAGTAGCAGACTAATTCTGAATAGCTTTAGTATTATTGAAGACAAAAAGACAAGATTACAGAGTAACTTCGAAAAAATTAGAGAGGGCTTGAGAAAAATTCCAAAGAGAGATTTAACTTACTAGTCTTCTTTAGAATATTCGCCCTTTCCTCTAAAATTCATTTGATTCGGAAAAATTCATTGGAGGGGTGATGAAGTAGAACTATCATGGAAATTATTTATTCAGAGTACAACTTAACTTGAGTCATTTTTATTCTTCCATGTTCCTTCTGTAAGTACAGACACAACAAAAAGAAATCGAGATACGGAAATGATAGAGACGAGGTGCGCTTATTACCTCTCTTAGATTCAGGGGCAATCTTTCCCCTATAGAAAAGGACCTGATAATAATTTCAAACAAATTTAACTATAATTTTCTCTTTTAAGTGATGATTGCAAATATTGGCCCAGCTTCTTACAACTACGAAGAAACTTTATCTACACTTCGTTACAGTTCTAGAGCTAAACAAATTCAGAATAAACCAATAATAAACGAAGATCCAAAGGATGCTCTCCTTCGCGAATTCCAAGAGGAAATTGCTCGTTTAAAGACTTTATTAGAGCAAAAAGGTATTATCATTAAATTACCCTCTTTGATTTAATTACCCAGTCCTTATAGATACCGTATTTCTTCAAATACCTTGAAGGATAGTTGAAAAATAGAGCTACATGGGGGGCTGTATTAGAGGAACCATCAAACCAGAGATAGTTATTTATATGAGTAAGGACTAGAGAGCGGGCTGGATCTGAATCCAGACCTTGATTTTTCCTGGATCCAGAGCCCAGATTAAGACATTTTTCAGAGTTCCTTGATTTTTACTTGACTCGAGATCAAGAATCTGGTCAAGGTACCCAACCAAAATCAATGTCAAGGATCAAGGTCAGTGTTTTTTAAACATCTCGCTCTCTAGTAAGGACACAACGATTTAGTCCTATACTCATTAATCTATCCCATCCATAACTTGTCCCTTCATTTTTCTGTCAAAGTTTTCTCTAGGCATTCTTCCAGTTGATCCTTTTTAATCTCAATAAAACGTTTAAAGGAACCAAAAGACGCCAATCACGTCACAACAACAATAATGACCTTATATTACAAAATGGGTCTAAAATGGATACAAGTACTGATCTGGCAGAAAAGGAAGCAGAAGGAATATATAGAGAAAAACAGGCAAAATTAGAAATGGAAAGGCAACGACTTTTACACAATAATCACATTATTGAAGAAGAAAAACAACGAATTTTGTCTGCCTTAACGGAACGTGAACAAGAATTAGAACGGGAGAGGCAAGAACAGCTTTCCCTTACAGCAAAAATTAGACAAATGCAAAGCAAATTGCTTTCGGGAGATGGAAATTTACTTGATAGAACGAGAAAACAGGAAACTTTGTTGGGGCAGAGGAGGGCTGAATTGGCTGAACAAAGGGTTTTTATACATGCGGACCTTGTTTTTAGATACACCCAATACTAGGTAACACCTCGATATAAGAGACTTTTTGGAAATGAGGGAGTAGCTCAAGAAATTTCCCTAATTTCGAGAGGTTCCTGATTTTATTAGTAATAGTTTTGTCTGTTGTATTAGCTGTAACACTGTCGACTGCTACAACAAATGAGATCTACCCATGAGATCCCCGCTTCCCATTCAGTTTAATAATTTCTATTCTGAATTTTGCTTTTAATAATTATTTAGAAATTAACGTAAATTTGATTTGCTGTTGACAAATGAGGGAGGGAGTTGGTAGTTGAGGGAGTTGCCTTCATCTTATGCTTGCCAAATTCTGAAAACATATCTTAAGGTATATCTAGTTTTGAGTGTATCTTTTAGTGAGGTCCGACGTATAGAAAAATTTTTTATGATTTTTTTTTTATATTTTAGAGAAGAGAAAGAGAAGTTTTGCAAAGATTAGAAATCCAAGAGTTAGAAACAGCAGAAATTAAACAAATATTTGCTAGTTTACAACAAGAAGTTGAAGCAAAAAGGAGAAAATTTCAAAAATTAAATAATCGGTTACAACAAATGCGTCTAGAATTGCGTGACAATGAATTAACGAATGCAAGTGAACGTCAAAATTTGGAACAAACAGTTCTTGAAATGAACAAAGAATTGGCTTTAAAGTAAGGAAAAATAATACTATGCTGAGGGGTATATCTAGTGTGGAGTGATAATTCTAGTTGTGAGACATAACTAACGGAACATAAGTAAAGGGTACATACCTATAGGCTGAAGGGAACATAGCTAATATAGTCTGAAGGAACATACCTATAGTGTGAAGGGAGCATGTTTGTATTCTGAACAGAGATGTTTCGAAATTTCGATTTTCGATTTTCGTTTTTCGATTTTCGAGGTTTTTTTCCTTTCGATTTTCGATTTCCGATTTTCGAAATTTTGTGATATTTTCGATTTTCGATTTCCGAATTTTTGAAAAATTTGAATTTTTGGCGCCAAAGTGGAGGATTTTTGGCTTATTGGCCATCATAAACTTAAAAAAATTTTCGCCTGCGGCGCAGAAAAAGGAAGATTTTTGGCTTCTTGGCCTTCCAAAATTCTCAAAATTTTTGCCTGCGGCGCTGAAAAATAAAGATTTTTGCCTTAAGGATCATCAAAATTTTCGCCTCCGGCGCAAAAAAGAAAGATTTTTGGTTCTTAGCCTTTCAAAATTCTCAAAATTTTCGCCTGCGGCGCTAATTGGAGGAAACCCTGATCTATTAACAATATTATGCTTCGGCTCCGGTATATTGGAGTATTTGCTTGAATTAAGGTGGGATTGGAGGGAGCAGGCCATTTGGAGGGATCAGGCCAGATGGATGGAGCAGGCAAGTTGGAGAGAGCAGGCCCCTTGCCGGAACCCTATGCCAGGTACCACCTTATGAGTTTACTCAAATCCTCCGTTATCCCTCTTAACCCACACAGATCTCAGGATTAAATATTAATCTTTACACTCGGAGTCTGGAGATAACAAGAAGCCGCTAGAAAATCACCGGCTCTGGAGCCAGGATCTCAATCTGATATGCAAAATTTTGGGTTTGGATATCCGTGATTTCCTTGGAATCCCAAATTCCTTAGAGTTCAAGCAAAAGTTCCAACTTGTAACATAAAAATTTATTTTTTTATTTTTTTTATTAAAAAATTTTTTTTCGATTTTCGTTTTTCGATTTTCGATTTTCGAGGTTATTTTTCTTTCGATTTTCGATTTTCGATTTCGAAGATTTTGAAAAATATTTTCGATTTTCGATTTCGATGTTTTTGGATTTTTTTCGATTTTCGATTTCCGATTTTCGAAGATTTTTTTGTTTCGAAACATCTCTGATTCTGAAGAGAACATAGATATTGTAGATTTTTCTTATAATGTGGGACAGATGTTAGGCTAGCTTTCGTTAGGCAGACAGATCACCTTTAATTCGGCTAACTAAATTTTAAATGATAAGTGTCTTAAGCTGAGGATGGTTGTATCTTATAATATACAACTTTTGATTATTTATTTTTAAGGTGGCTTATCATCGATAATTTCATTCCTGTGAATGTAGTCGAAAATATCAAAGAAAAGGCACAGTTTGATGACAATGAACATCAATGGATTATCAGAGAAGGCCCCTCTAATCAACAAAATTTTTTGTTGGAACGTCGGCGCTCTATTCTTGTCGAAAACGAAGGTGGAGGGTTGGAAAGGCTAAATCTCAATAATAGTCCTCAACAAAATTTTAATTCTCATTTGAGAACAACAATGGCTGATTCTGGATTGGGAAGGTGAAATTAATAGTTTCTAGTAGAGATCGAGATTTTTGAAACGCTAGGATTTTTGAAACTTTTTGAAACGCTTGGACTCTGGAATTTGATTTATTTACCTGGACTGGACTGAAGTACAGGAAAAACCCAGACCAAGGAAAAACACGGGAAGGTCAAAAAATGCCTGGACCTGGACTCTGGGTACAGGAAAAACCCAGACCTTGGTCTAGGTCCAGCTCGATCTCTAGTTTCTACTACTTATAATTCTACTACTTTTTTTAGTAGCAATGGTTGTTCCTCAACCCAAGGGCCATCCGATGCTAGTTCTCAGGAGGACGGAGGTGTAAATTCAAATGATGTTGTGGATTTTGCCGAGCAAAGTACTTCTCAACACGAAAATGCTTTTATTTCCCCTGCAAGATTATTGAAAAGACCGGTAGATATTTTTTAAGAGAATTATTTAAGTTGTGTTTTAGATGGCATTTTTTGGAACAACCCGCCCTATTTCCAATTGGGAAATGGTACTTCTTGGCAAACTCAAAAATCAACTAACACGCTCAAATTCAAAACAACATTCTAGATATCCTCCAAATATTAAAATGAGTCAAATATCTAAAAATGGAGAATTGCCAGAATTTTTAATTTATGATGAGGTGAATAAATATAATTTTATGAAATAAAATTATACTGTAATTTTAAAATTTAACTCTTTAACTAGTACTAGTATTATGTTTTAGATTTTTAAATTTTATTCCCTTTCACAAACTTAAGTTTTAATAATGTTTATTTTAATTCATACTTAAATTAAATTATTAGTTATTGCAAACTTAAGTTTTCAAGTTCTAATTTTTATTTAAGTTTTAATTAGAAACTTAAGCTTACAACTTTAAAACTTAAGCTTAAAACAAGTTTACACTTAAATTATAATATAAAACTTAAGTATACAACTTAAAACTTAAGCTTAAGACAAATTTACACTCAAATTCTAATTAAAACTTAAGTTTACTTTATTTGTTCTTTCTCTGTTAGTGTCTTAAATCTTTCTAATTAAAAATAATTTAATTTATTTAAGGTTCTTCGTTCTTGTTCCCAAAATTTGTTAACATTCCAATCCCTTTCCTCATACGGCTCTCAAGTTAATTCTAACTTGGAAGAGCAACAAAGGCCCCCTACAAGATCAGGCAGAACATCAAAACAACCAACCCCAAATTCAAAAATTCAAAGATTTGTTGTAGATACTTCCCGAATTCCAATACCTACCCAAAGAAGTGTTAGCAGAGATAATATTAATAATGCAACGACAACATTGTCTAGACCAATGTCTGCTGCAAGCAGAAGAAGGGGTTCACTTGCGAGGGGTTCACAATCTTCTTTAATTAGTTCTGCTACTCTAAAGCTTTGCAATAATGCTCAAAATAGTCAACAAATGTATTTTTTAATTATTTTTATTTGGGTTTTAAGCCCTTCCCATACTCGAGATTGTAAAATAATTATATTTATTTTAGTTTATACTTTTACAAGACCAAGAGTTCGGCATCATTAGGGTTGTCGTTTTCGAGTCGGGCCGACGTTCGAGTCATTTTTTGGACTCATTTTTATCGGACCGGACCGACCGAGTCTTCGGGCCTAAATTTGATGCACGACTCGATCTTTCGGACCTGGACAGCAACCCTAGGCATAATGGTTATTTATAACGAGAGTCAGCTTTAATTGGTTTTATACAGAAAACTCTTTCTGTTAGAGACTACGGATATGAGTAAGATACTAGCAATCTCTGCTTGGCAATTTTTTCTATAAGAAGGGTTTCCGTTTTCGAGTCGGTCCATACTATCCATTTTTTTGTGCCAAATATTCTGTGCCCGATTTGATCTTTCGGTCCGAGTCGGCCCATTTTGGCAACCCTATCTATAAGGAATCTCTACTTTCTGTCTCTATTATAGATATCTAGACCCGTTTGGATTGGAGAAAAATTTTGTAACCAAGCCTCTTATATAATAAGTGCTTATATTTTTAAAAATTATTTCCTTTCATCCTTTATTCCTTTCAGTTCCAGCCCAGAAAATTTATTACTAAATCAAAATGGACATTCCAATAATAATTCAAAAAACTTGCGTGCCCGCAGCGTGTTCAGCAACAACAACAACAATTTAATTTTAAACAAAAACAACGAAAAAGGAAACAACAAAAGAATGGCAGAATCTGCCTCGAGTGCCTCCTCCTCTTTAGAAGGAAAAATTGGAACAACAATTGTACAAAGAGCCCCAAGCAGTCCAGCAATTTCTGGACGTATTCCAATTCCCCTTCAACCAAATTATCCAAAAGCAAGAGGCCTTGTTGGAGGGGGAATAATTGGTGGGGGTGGAAGCAGAAAATGAATAAATTGGAGGAGAAAAAAGAGATTTGGGAATATTTTAAGGTGAAAATTAATTTTTAAAATCACCCTTGGGGTTGGGGATGCAAGAAGGGTAAACGAGGATTTGGATCCATACCTTATTTTTTCCTGGATCCAGAATCAAGATCATTACATTTTCTAGTGTTCCTTGATTTTTCCTTGACTCAAGGTCACTAATATGGTCGAGGGCCTTGACCAAAATCATGTACATGATTTTTAAAATTCCCGATCTCTATTAAATTAATCTGCTTTATATACTGATATACATACTTTAAATCATCTCTAAATTTGCGATTCATAAAAATAAGTTGTCTTATACAACGAGGCCTTTTTAATTCTACATATGTTGTACCTAAAATCAGTTGTATTAATTATTGGAAATATTGCTTAGATAGCCTTCTCAGACGCTTAGACGGCCCCTTAAACATCTCCATTTACCCAAAGTCAACCAAAATTTTAAAAATGATCTTAAACTGAGGTGTATATAATTGGGGTGTCCGTAAAATTGAAATTTACATTAAGGCACTTAATTCACCAAACAACAACGACTTTAATCAAAATTTATCTGAATCAAGTACACGTTTACAACAAAAATCACCATCAACTAACAACATTTCAAAAATCCCTTTATTTATTGGGCGTTCTTCAAATTTTGGAATTTATTCAAAAAATAAGACAAAAAAATTATTAAATAGTAAAAACAAAGAAAAACAATTGTTCAAGGCTAATAACGAACAACAAATCGTTCCTTTTGTTTATTCTTCCTGTGCAAGTTCGAGGTGTTTTACCTTTTAAATTTTTTCTGATTTTTTGGCGTTTTATTTGTTCAATCTTTAATTGCCAGATTTTACACGTAACTTCTAAGATTGCGTATTCTGGGATATAATTGAATAATCCTAATTGTAAAACTAACACATCAGTCCGGTCTACTGAAGTTGCCTCTAGAAATGGCTCTAGTCTCCTTTTACTTATTGTTGTAGTTTTGAAACCGAGTCGAATGTAGAGCTAGTGATTTTTTTGGTTCTGTCCTTTAGTTCGGTTCTGGATATCAAAGGATTTTCCATGAACTGAAAAAAAAATTGAAAAAAATTTCCATCTATTTTTGACTCCTTTCCCCCTTCTCGAGAACTAACTCAAATCTTTTCTATTTTTTTATTAGGCTTATAAGTTTTCTTTTATTAACTGATTTTAGACTAACTTATAGCCTTTTTTCAATTTAATTTTTTAAAGAGAAACACTTTCATCTTGTGGAAAATTTTCTGAAGAGGATTCAGAAGAGGACCACGAAAATGACAAAATTAACAACAAAAACTCACTAAACTTAAATATTTCAACAACTAGTCTACCTTCATCATCTTGGCACACAATAGGCATTGCCCACTCCCTTCTAACCAAAATTCAAAATAAAAATAAAAAATCAACAAAATTTAGAACATTTCCACTTTTACAACGTCCAATATTTAATAATAATAAAGAAGAAAATTGGAAAAGTTTTTCTGGAACTTCGGAAAAAATTTTAAATTCTTCTCTATCTCCATTCTCCAAAAGTTTTTGTTGTAGTAGTGATAATTCTAAATTGTTCTCAAACTCTTTACAACACTCTTTTAATTCAAAAAATTCTTCAAGTTGTTTATGGGAGAACAATGAAAGACCCAATTTTTAGTAAGTTTGTTAACAATGTTCTTGACTATGAAAATGAAATTTTTGCTGTTATTTACGAGGGATGGGACCTGCCTTACTTTAAAAAGCGGAAGAAAAGGCGAAGGGAAACGGAAGAAAAAAAATGGAAGCACTAGTGCCAAAAAAGGCGGAAATCGGCGAAGGACGGAAGCGGAAGAAATCCCGTCCTTGTGTCTTTCAATTGAAAGACACAAGGACGGGATTCAACCTTTTACTGTAAAGAGGTGGTTAATTGAGGAAGGGTAATTAATCGAGTATGTTAAGCAGTATCGTGTAGGCTCCGGCATGGGGAGCAGGATTTTGAAATGCCCGGAGCCGGAACCAATATTTTAAAAAAATGCCGGAGTTACAAAACCCCCCAATACCTAGTATCGATGAAAGTTGTTTCATATATCCACTAAAGTTCATTTTATATAAACCCCTCCTTAAATTATGTATATCTATAATTTTTAAATAATTTACAGCAACACCAAACTTCCAACAAACACAAAAATGCTCCAACATTATAAGCTCCACAAGATTCGACACATTTTTGGGTTTAAACGGTTTTAATCTTACAAAATCTAAAAAATTTTATATAAATTTTCAAGCTGTCAACATACTTCGATTCATTTAAATTCGAGTTTGTTGTCCACATTAAGAGAACATCAACAGCAGAAAGTTAACAAAACAAATTTATTACCGACATTTGACAACAGCACAATTTATTGGGCAATTGTTGTCTTTGCTGGCTTTTCTCTCTTTTTTGGAATTATTTCTTTTTTGTTCAACATTCTACTACTCGTTTGGCAAAATAATTGATATTTATGTTTTATTCTGAATTTGAACACGTTGCGGGCAAAAAAATTTTTTAGTGATTAAATTAATTCGTTTAATTGTATATTCCAATTTTTGTTTTAATTTTAAATGAAGTTTAAATTACTTTAAATATATAGTAAGAGTTTAAGAAAGTGTAGCCGCCGGGAAGGATAAATCTGTGACAACGCCAAATTTCCGAAAAATCTTGGAGCCCTAGATGAACTCCTTAAGGACCATCCAACGAATCTCTTAATGCAATTATTGCAGAATTGTGATCCTCACCTTTAAAATATAGTGAAAACAATGAAAATTAAGAACCTCCAAAGCAAACCCTTTTAAAGCAAAAAATTTAGCAAAAAACTGTATCAGAGCATTAAATATATGTATAATTTAAACGGAAATGTTATATGAAGTCTTTCTGATGACATTATTATGCCTAAACATCTTTCAAACCGACTAGAATAAAGACTGATTGGATTTGAAATAAACAACATTTACTCTAACCCCTCGATCAAATTGAGGTTTCAAAATCTTATTTAGATCGGATTGTGTGTTAAAAAAATCCGGATTTCGTATAAACCAAACATCCTTGCTCCTTACAAGGCAAATATGGAGATTTATTTCGGGATAGTTTTCCTGTTTATTATCCCAACTAGATATTCTTCGAACTGCTCCAAAAATACTTAGTTTATGAGCTATGGGAAGCTATTTAGGATTATTTAGAGGGGTAGGAATCTATTATTTTTATTAATTCGAGTGGATTCTATTCGAAATTATCCAAAAATACTTAGTTTATGAGCTATGGGAAGCTATTTAGGGTTATTTAGAGGGGTAGAAATCTATTATTTTATTAATTCGAGTGGATTCTATTCGAAATTATCCAAAAATACTTAGTTTATGAGCTATGGGAAGCTATTTAGGGTTATTTAGAGGGGTAGGAATCTATTATTTTTATTAATTCGAGTGGATTCTATTCGAAATTATCCAAAAATACTTAGTTTATGAGCTATGGGAAGCTATTTAGGGTTATTTAGAGGGGTAGGAATCTATTATTTTTATTAATTCGAGTGGATTCTATTCGAAATTATCCAAAAATACTTAGTTTATGAGCTATGGGAAGCTATTTAGGGTTATTTAGAGGGGTAGAATTAATAAAAATAATAGATTCCTACCCCTCTAAATAACCCTAAATAGCTTCCCATAGCTCATAAACTAAGTATTTTTGGATAATTTCGAATAGAATCCACTCGAATTAATAAAAATAATAGATTCCTACCCCTCTAAATAACCCTAAATAGCTTCCCATAGCTCATAAACTAAGTATTTTTGGATAATTTCGAATAGAATCCACTCGAATTAATAAAAATAATAGATTCCTACCCCTCTAAATAACCCTAAATAGCTTCCCATAGCTCATAAACTAAGTATTTTTGGATAATTTCGAATAGAATCCACTCGAATTAATAAAAATAATAGATTCCTACCCCTCTAAATAACCCTAAATAGCTTCCCATAGCTCATAAACTAAGTATTTTTGGATAAATTCGAATAGAATCCACTCGAATTAATAAAAATAATAGATTCCTACCCCTCTAAATAACCCTAAATAGCTTCCCATAGCTCATAAACTAAGTATTTTTGGATAAATTCGAATAGAATCCACTCGAATTAATAAAAATAATAGATTCCTACCCCTCTAAATAACCCTAAATAGCTTCCCATAGCTCATAAACTAAGTATTTTTGGATAAATTCGAATAGAATCCACTCGAATTAATAAAAATAATAGATTCCTACCCCTCTAAATAACCCTAAATAGCTTTCCATAGCTCATAAACTAAGTATTTTTGGATAATTTCGAATAGAATCCACTCGAATTAATAAAAATAATAGATTCCTACCCCTCTAAATAACCCTAAATAGCTTCCCATAGCTCATAAACTAAGTATTTTTGGATAATTTCGAATAGAATCCACTCGAATTAATAAAAATAATAGATTCCTACCCCTCTAAATAACCCTAAATAGCTTCCCATAGCTCATAAACTAAGTATTTTTGGATAATTTCGAATAGAATCCACTCGAATTAATAAAAATAATAGATTCCTACCCCTCTAAATAACCCTAAATAGCTTCCCATAGCTCATAAACTAAGTATTTTTGGATAATTTCGAATAGAATCCACTCGAATTAATAAAAATAATAGATTCCTACCCCTCTAAATAACCCTAAATAGCTTCCCATAGCTCATAAACTAAGTATTTTTGGATAAATTCGAATAGAATCCACTCGAATTAATAAAAATAATAGATTCCTACCCCTCTAAATAACCCTAAATAGCTTCCCATAGCTCATAAACTAAGTATTTTTGGATAATTTCGAATAGAATCCACTCGAATTAATAAAATAATAGATTTCTACCCCTCTAAATAACCCTAAATAGCTTCCCATAGCTCATAAACTAAGTATTTTTGGATAAATTCGAATAGAATCCACTCGAATTAATAAAAATAATAGATTCCTACCCCTCTAAATAACCCTAAATAGCTTCCCATAGCTCATAAACTAAGTATTTTTGGATAAATTCGAATAGAATCCACTCGAATTAATAAAAATAATAGATTCCTACCCCTCTAAATAACCCTAAATAGCTTCCCATAGCTCATAAACTAAGTATTTTTGGATAAATTCGAATAGAATCCACTCGAATTAATAAAAATAATAGATTCCTACCCCTCTAAATAACCCTAAATAGCTTTCCATAGCTCATAAACTAAGTATTTTTGGATAATTTCGAATAGAATCCACTCGAATTAATAAAAATAATAGATTCCTACCCCTCTAAATAACCCTAAATAGCTTCCCATAGCTCATAAACTAAGTATTTTTGGATAATTTCGAATAGAATCCACTCGAATTAATAAAAATAATAGATTCCTACCCCTCTAAATAACCCTAAATAGCTTCCCATAGCTCATAAACTAAGTATTTTTGGATAAATTCGAATAGAATCCACTCGAATTAATAAAAATAATAGATTCCTACCCCTCTAAATAACCCTAAATAGCTTCCCATAGCTCATAAACTAAGTATTTTTGGATAAATTCGAATAGAATCCACTCGAATTAATAAAAATAATAGATTCCTACCCCTCTAAATAACCCTAAATAGCTTCCCATAGCTCATAAACTAAGTATTTTTGGATAAATTCGAATAGAATCCACTCGAATTAATAAAAATAATAGATTCCTACCCCTCTAAATAACCCTAAATAGCTTCCCATAGCTCATAAACTAAGTATTTTTGGATAAATTCGAATAGAATCCACTCGAATTAATAAAAATAATAGATTCCTACCCCTCTAAATAACCCTAAATAGCTTCCCATAGCTCATAAACTAAGTATTTTTGGATAAATTCGAATAGAATCCACTCGAATTAATAAAAATAATAGATTCCTACCCCTCTAAATAACCCTAAATAGCTTTCCATAGCTCATAAACTAAGTATTTTTGGATAATTTCGAATAGAATCCACTCGAATTAATAAAAATAATAGATTCCTACCCCTCTAAATAACCCTAAATAGCTTCCCATAGCTCATAAACTAAGTATTTTTGGATAATTTCGAATAGAATCCACTCGAATTAATAAAAATAATAGATTCCTACCCCTCTAAATAACCCTAAATAGCTTCCCATAGCTCATAAACTAAGTATTTTTGGATAATTTCGAATAGAATCCACTCGAATTAATAAAAATAATAGATTCCTACCCCTCTAAATAACCCTAAATAGCTTCCCATAGCTCATAAACTAAGTATTTTTGGATAATTTCGAATAGAATCCACTCGAATTAATAAAAATAATAGATTCCTACCCCTCTAAATAACCCTAAATAGCTTCCCATAGCTCATAAACTAAGTATTTTTGGATAAATTCGAATAGAATCCACTCGAATTAATAAAAATAATAGATTCCTACCCCTCTAAATAACCCTAAATAGCTTCCCATAGCTCATAAACTAAGTATTTTTGGATAAATTCGAATAGAATCCACTCGAATTAATAAAAATAATAGATTCCTACCCCTCTAAATAACCCTAAATAGCTTCCCATAGCTCATAAACTAAGTATTTTTGGATAAATTCGAATAGAATCCACTCGAATTAATAAAAATAATAGATTCCTACCCCTCTAAATAACCCTAAATAGCTTTCCATAGCTCATAAACTAAGTATTTTTGGATAATTTCGAATAGAATCCACTCGAATTAATAAAAATAATAGATTCCTACCCCTCTAAATAACCCTAAATAGCTTCCCATAGCTCATAAACTAAGTATTTTTGGATAATTTCGAATAGAATCCACTCGAATTAATAAAAATAATAGATTCCTACCCCTCTAAATAACCCTAAATAGCTTCCCATAGCTCATAAACTAAGTATTTTTGGATAATTTCGAATAGAATCCACTCGAATTAATAAAAATAATAGATTCCTACCCCTCTAAATAACCCTAAATAGCTTCCCATAGCTCATAAACTAAGTATTTTTGGATAATTTCGAATAGAATCCACTCGAATTAATAAAAATAATAGATTCCTACCCCTCTAAATAACCCTAAATAGCTTCCCATAGCTCATAAACTAAGTATTTTTGGATAATTTCGAATAGAATCCACTCGAATTAATAAAAATAATAGATTCCTACCCCTCTAAATAACCCTAAATAGCTTCCCATAGCTCATAAACTAAGTATTTTTGGATAATTTCGAATAGAATCCACTCGAATTAATAAAATAATAGATTTCTACCCCTCTAAATAACCCTAAATAGCTTCCCATAGCTCATAAACTAAGTATTTTTGGATAATTTCGAATAGAATCCACTCGAATTAATAAAAATAATAGATTCCTACCCCTCTAAATAACCCTAAATAGCTTCCCATAGCTCATAAACTAAGTATTTTTGGATAATTTCGAATAGAATCCACTCGAATTAATAAAAATAATAGATTCCTACCCCTCTAAATAACCCTAAATAGCTTCCCATAGCTCATAAACTAAGTATTTTTGGATAATTTCGAATAGAATCCACTCGAATTAATAAAAATAATAGATTCCTACCCCTCTAAATAACCCTAAATAGCTTCCCATAGCTCATAAACTAAGTATTTTTGGATAATTTCGAATAGAATCCACTCGAATTAATAAAAATAATAGATTCCTACCCCTCTAAATAACCCTAAATAGCTTCCCATAGCTCATAAACTAAGTATTTTTGGATAATTTCGAATAGAATCCACTCGAATTAATAAAATAATAGATTTCTACCCCTCTAAATAACCCTAAATAGCTTCCCATAGCTCATAAACTAAGTATTTTTGGATAATTTCGAATAGAATCCACTCGAATTAATAAAAATAATAGATTCCTACCCCTCTAAATAACCCTAAATAGCTTCCCATAGCTCATAAACTAAGTATTTTTGGATAATTTCGAATAGAATCCACTCGAATTAATAAAAATAATAGATTCCTACCCCTCTAAATAACCCTAAATAGCTTCCCATAGCTCATAAACTAAGTATTTTTGGATAATTTCGAAGAAAATCTACCCGAATTAATAAAATAATAGATTTCTACCCCTCTAAATAACCCTAAATAGCTTCCCATAGCTCATAAACTAAGTATTTTTGGATAATTTCGAATAGAATCCACTCGAATTAATAAAAATAATAGATTCCTACCCCTCTAAATAACCCTAAATAGCTTCCCATAGCTCATAAACTAAGTATTTTTGGATAATTTCGAATAGAATCCACTCGAATTAATAAAATAATAGATTTCTACCCCTCTAAATAACCCTAAATAGCTTCCCATAGCTCATAAACTAAGTATTTTTGGATAATTTCGAATAGAATCCACTCGAATTAATAAAAATAATAGATTCCTACCCCTCTAAATAACCCTAAATAGCTTCCCATAGCTCATAAACTAAGTATTTTTGGATAATTTCGAATAGAATCCACTCGAATTAATAAAATAATAGATTTCTACCCCTCTAAATAACCCTAAATAGCTTCCCATAGCTCATAAACTAAGTATTTTTGGATAATTTCGAAGAAAATCTACCCGAATTAATAAAATAATAGATTTCTACCCCTCTAAATAACCCTAAATAGCTTCCCATAGCTCATAAACTAAGTATTTTTGGATAATTTCGAATAGAATCCACTCGAATTAATAAAAATAATAGATTCCTACCCCTCTAAATAACCCTAAATAGCTTCCCATAGCTCATAAACTAAGTATTTTTGGATAATTTCGAATAGAATCCACTCGAATTAATAAAATAATAGATTTCTACCCCTCTAAATAACCCTAAATAGCTTCCCATAGCTCATAAACTAAGTATTTTTGGATAATTTCGAATAGAATCCACTCGAATTAATAAAAATAATAGATTCCTACCCCTCTAAATAACCCTAAATAGCTTCCCATAGCTCATAAACTAAGTATTTTTGGATAATTTCGAAGAAAATCTACCCGAATTAATAAAATAATAGATTTCTACCCCTCTAAATAACCCTAAATAGCTTCCCATAGCTCATAAACTAAGTATTTTTGGATAATTTCGAATAGAATCCACTCGAATTAATAAAAATAATAGATTCCTACCCCTCTAAATAACCCTAAATAGCTTCCCATAGCTCATAAACTAAGTATTTTTGGATAATTTCGAATAGAATCCACTCGAATTAATAAAAATAATAGATTCCTACCCCTCTAAATAACCCTAAATAGCTTCCCATAGCTCATAAACTAAGTATTTTTGGATAATTTCGAAGAAAATCTACCCGAATTAATAAAATAATAGATTTCTACCCCTCTAAATAACCCTAAATAGCTTCCCATAGCTCATAAACTAAGTATTTTTGGATAATTTCGAATAGAATCCACTCGAATTAATAAAAATAATAGATTCCTACCCCTCTAAATAACCCTAAATAGCTTCCCATAGCTCATAAACTAAGTATTTTTGGATAATTTCGAATAGAATCCACTCGAATTAATAAAATAATAGATTTCTACCCCTCTAAATAACCCTAAATAGCTTCCCATAGCTCATAAACTAAGTATTTTTGGATAATTTCGAATAGAATCCACTCGAATTAATAAAAATAATAGATTCCTACCCCTCTAAATAACCCTAAATAGCTTCCCATAGCTCATAAACTAAGTATTTTTGGATAATTTCGAAGAAAATCTACCCGAATTAATAAAATAATAGATTTCTACCCCTCTAAATAACCCTAAATAGCTTCCCATAGCTCATAAACTAAGTATTTTTGGATAATTTCGAATAGAATCCACTCGAATTAATAAAAATAATAGATTCCTCCTCCTCTAAATAACCCTAAATAGCTTCCCATAGCTCATAAACTAAGTATTTTTGGATAATTTCGAATAGAATCCACTCGAAATAATAAAATAATAGATTTCTACCCCTCTAAATAACCCTAAATAGCTTCCCATAGCTCATAAACTAAGTATTTTTGGATAATTTCGAATAGAATCCACTCGAATTAATAAAAATAATAGATTCCTACCCCTCTAAATAACCCTAAATAGCTTCCCATAGCTCATAAACTAAGTATTTTTGGATAATTTCGAATAGAATCCACTCGAATTAATAAAAATAATAGATTCCTACCCCTCTAAATAACCCTAAATAGCTTCCCATAGCTCATAAACTAAGTATTTTTGGATAATTTCGAATAGAATCCACTCGAATTAATAAAAATAATAGATTCCTACCCCTCTAAATAACCCTAAATAGCTTCCCATAGCTCATAAACTAAGTATTTTTGGATAATTTCGAATAGAATCCACTCGAATTAATAAAAATAATAGATTCCTACCCCTCTAAATAACCCTAAATAGCTTCCCATAGCTCATAAACTAAGTATTTTTGGATAATTTCGAATAGAATCCACTCGAATTAATAAAAATAATAGATTCCTACCCCTCTAAATAACCCTAAATAGCTTCCCATAGCTCATAAACTAAGTATTTTTGGATAATTTCGAATAGAATCCACTCGAATTAATAAAAATAATAGATTCCTACCCCTCTAAATAACCCTAAATAGCTTCCCATAGCTCATAAACTAAGTATTTTTGGATAATTTCGAATAGAATCCACTCGAATTAATAAAAATAATAGATTCCTACCCCTCTAAATAACCCTAAATAGCTTCCCATAGCTCATAAACTAAGTATTTTTGGATAATTTCGAATAGAATCCACTCGAATTAATAAAAATAATAGATTCCTACCCCTCTAAATAACCCTAAATAGCTTCCCATAGCTCATAAACTAAGTATTTTTGGATAATTTCGAATAGAATCCACTCGAATTAATAAAAATAATAGATTCCTACCCCTCTAAATAACCCTAAATAGCTTCCCATAGCTCATAAACTAAGTATTTTTGGATAATTTCGAATAGAATCCACTCGAATTAATAAAAATAATAGATTCCTACCCCTCTAAATAACCCTAAATAGCTTCCCATAGCTCATAAACTAAGTATTTTTGGATAATTTCGAATAGAATCCACTCGAATTAATAAAATAATAGATTTCTACCCCTCTAAATAACCCTAAATAGCTTCCCATAGCTCATAAACTAAGTATTTTTGGATAATTTCGAATAGAATCCACTCGAATTAATAAAAATAATAGATTCCTACCCCTCTAAATAACCCTAAATAGCTTCCCATAGCTCATAAACTAAGTATTTTTGGATAATTTCGAAGAAAATCTACCCGAATTAATAAAATAATAGATTCCTACCCCTCTAAATAACCCTAAATAGCTTCCCATAGCTCATAAACTAAGTATTTTTGGATAATTTCGAATAGAATCCACTCGAATTAATAAAAATAATAGATTCCTACCCCTCTAAATAACCCTAAATAGCTTCCCATAGCTCATAAACTAAGTATTTTTGGATAATTTCGAATAGAATCCACTCGAATTAATAAAATAATAGATTTCTACCCCTCTAAATAACCCTAAATAGCTTCCCATAGCTCATAAACTAAGTATTTTTGGATAATTTCGAAGAAAATCTACCCGAATTAATAAAATAATAGATTCCTACCCCTCTAAATAACCCTAAATAGCTTCACATAGCTCATAAACTAAGTATTTTTGGATAATTTCGCTTAGAATCCACTCGAATTAATAAAATAATAGATTTCTACCCCTCTAAATAACCCTAAATAGCTTCCCATAGCTCATAAACTAAGTATTTTTGGATAATTTCGAATAGAATCCACTCGAATTAATAAAATAATAGATTTCTACCCCTCTAAATAACCCTAAATAGCTTCCCATAGCTCATAAACTAAGTATTTTTGGATAATTTCGAATAGAATCCACTCGAATTAATAAAAATAATAGATTTCTACCCCTCTAAATAACCCTAAATAGCTTCCCATAGCTCATAAACTAAGTATCACGAGGGAATTCGAAAAAAGTGGCCGCTTTATTAGAACATTGGAAATTAACAAAATTGGGCTATAAATCCTAGAGATCGAGATGGGTCTGGACCAGGCCTGGTTTTTTCCTATACCCAGAGTCCAGGCCCAGGCATTTTTTGACCTTCCTGGAGTTTTCTTGGGCCTGGGTTTTTCCTGGACTACAGGCCCAGGATCCGGCCCAGTCAATAAATCAAACCCGGAACCCAGGAAGAAGTTTTTCAAAAATCTCGCTCACTAATAGATCAAGATATGAGAGTAAATATGAATCCTCTTTAACCTAAATTTGCGACAGCGTTTTGAAAGCTTTGAGGGTTTATTAGGGAATAATTAGTATTAATTTGTAGACTTTACTTTAAGTTCGAAAAAATTCTCTCAATAAAACCATAACTTTATATATAGATGTGGATGAATGCACACTTGGAGCACACGATTGTGGACCTATGTATCAATGTAAAAATACTCAGGGAAGCTTTCGTTGTGTACCTAAGCGTTGTGAAGATAATCAAGTTTTGGACCCTGGAACTGGGGAATGCAAAGTATTTTTTGGAAAAATAAAAATTTAAATATTTTTTTGTAGTCAGTAAATTGTCCGCCTGGATATAGGCCCAGAGATGGACGTTGTGAGGATGTTGATGAATGTAGGGAAAAGGCTATTGCTTGTCCTATTTATGAGGAATGTGAGTTAAAATGTTATTTCGGTTTATGGCTGTTACCTGAAAACGATATCCGGTGCTAAAAGTTCCCAAGAACCTCAGAACTGTTAAAACGTGGAATTGAAGGAACCATGGAAGCAGAGAGTGGAGTTTGTTCCTTATACCCGAACTGGAACCACCCGAAACCATTCAAAAGATGCATGAATCATTTCGTTTCCTTTCCTTTGCCTTAAGAAACGTAAAGAAAAATTCACGTTCCTTTCTCTTTTCTCGAGACAATCACAAAATGAAACTTTTCATGCATCATTGGTAAAGGGAAAATTTATTCATATTCATTTTTTTATTACTTAAAAGGTGTAAATACACCAGGCTCGTTTCGTTGTCAAGAGCAAGGGAATGTTTGTTCTAATGGATATTATATGGACAGAGAGAGTGGATTTTGTCTTGGTTTGTCCTTTGAAATTCTATTGTTAATCTATTTGTGAAGATATTGATGAGTGCCAACGTGGAACACATACTTGCACATCCATTGCTGATTGCATTAATCTTCCAGGAATGTATCGTTGCAAGTGTGCTACAGGCTTTGAATTTAATGAATATACAATGTAAAAACATTTGGAAATTGCCTGCACCCATGTTAAACTTTAAAAAACACTCTTCCCCATTAAGGCGTTGCGAAGACATTGACGAATGCATTAAATTTTCTGGGCATGCCTGCTCCTTACAAGCCGATTGTGTTAATTCTATTGGCTCTTATCAATGTATATGCAAACCTGGATTTAGTTTAGCTGCAGATAATAGAAGTTGTGATGGTAGGGGAAATTAATTGAATTAATAGAAATTTGCGGACAGTTTTTGCGGACATACTTTTCGAACTTTTTGCGGATATTTATTTAAATTTAAGATATAAACGAATGTGAGTTGGGTATAGCCAAATGTCAACAAAAATGCATTAACTCACCAGGCTCTTATCAATGCATTTGCGATCGAGGTGATAATTTCCTGAAATACTTAAGACCAGAGAAAATATTTTTAGGGTATCAATTGGGAATAGACGAAGCCACATGTGAAGATATTGATGAATGCAAAATTTGGGCCAAGTCGGGTGGGTAAATTTTGTATTTTAAAAATATTGCTGACGAAAAATTCAAAAATATTTTTGCGGACAAACATTTGCGGACTTGATATTTTATGTATTTAAAATAATTAACATTTATAGGAAATGAATTATGTATGGGCAAATGTATAAATACTCCAGGGTCGTTTCTTTGTACATGTCCAGAAGGTTATCAAGTCATGTCTGATGGAATTACTTGTAAAGGTAAATAAAAAAATTTTTGAATCGTTGGGCATTAATATTGAAGATCGGATAGTCCGCAACTTTTTTGCGGACTATTCTTTATTTTGCGGACTTAAAAGGAATTCATAAGTCTCCTCCTCTTTAGTAATCTAATTATTTAGCAATCTAAATCTATTTAAAGATATTGATGAATGCTCAGAAAACTCAAATCTGTGTAATATTGACCAAATTTGCATTAATTTATTGGGCAGCTTTAAATGTGAACGGATTGATGTCCACGTAATTATATCCCTGACAAGACTTTTAAAAAGTAAAATGCATAGTTTTTAACTTAAAAGTTCCTTGGAGAATTTTAATCTCGTTTAATGCACCCTTCTCCACCCCGAACGACAATATTATAAAATCTCAATAGTAACCAACAAAGCCAAGAATATATGAAAAAATGAGCCAGCCTTAAACGGCACTATTTCCCTTGCGTTTCCCTCTCAATATGAGAACTCTACCCCTAATTAGTGTTTCATAGTCGAACTTGTAATTTCGAGTACGAATACAAGCAAATTTTAAATTTCCTAACACTGTCTCCTACAAGATGAGATCTCCATATTTTGGATAAAGTAACAGGCGTGGTTTTTACTTAATGTTACTAACCTACTAATTTATTTTTGCTTTTCCTGTTAATTCTTAAATTAATGTAATTAGCTTATAAAACATTTTCGTCAATTTTTAACATTTTTGCTCATTTATTTATAAAATTTAAATGAAAAGTCGTTGCCTGAAAAAACCAGGACACTGCGAAAATATGTTTATGGAAAGATGCAAAAAATTGCCTATACATATCTCATGGCAACATATTGCTATACCTAAAGTATTTATTTTTTGAGAGATTTTTTTCTAATTTTTTTCCAAAAGCAAGTGAATATTTCTCTTCACAGAACTTCTGTGACACTTTTCTCTATGAAGGTTCAGAATAATTTTTTTTATTTAAAAAAATTTTTTATTTCTCTATAGGGCCCTCCCAATCAAGATTCCTCCATGCAATTTGAACTTCGTTTGGTTACTGCCAAACAAGGTGGACTTTAATTTATTTTTAAGATGATTCTTTCAACGTTCTAGTTCTCTTGGACTCTTCTCTTTTAAAAGTCTTCCTATAAAACTCTTTAATAGGCGTCTTATTAAGCCTAAAAATGTAGGTGGTGGGTCGGAGAGCTCTCAGGATCAAGTCCCATCCATCCCATCCAATACTTTATTATTTTCTGGGATGGCTAGTGCCGTTTTACTTTAAAATGTTTGTCGTTCTTTTCAAATCCTAATCTGAATTTAATACTTAATATCATGTCTTTATGCTACTCAATTTGAAAAATATGTCATCCGAAAGAAGTTAGAACCATTCTTTTTAAATTATATATTTTAGGCTCTGATTCAGTCACACCCGCAATACGAGCAAATTTTTTGCTTCAAAAGGGTTTGCTTTGGAGTTTTTTAATTTTCATTGTTTTCAATATATTTAAAGGAGAGGATCACAATTCTGCAATAATTGCATTAAGAGATTCGTTGGATGGCCCTCAAGAAGTTCATTTAGAATTAACCCTTCGGTTAACAACTAATGGGCAATTTAATGGGAAATATGTTGCTAATTTGCTTGTAGACTAGTGATGGTCGGGATTCCCGGTCTCGGTTCCCGAGTCGGGAAATTTCCCGGGTTTTTTGAGCTCTCGGTCTCGGTCTCGGTGTTTTAGTCTCGGAAAACGAGACTAAATTTACACCCCTAATGACGGAAATTTTTTGAACTTTTTGAAGGAAAGGGGAAAGGAATATATTTATAATTTCTCCCATTTGCTTTTGATGGTCGATGGTTGAGTGGTTAAGTTGACCGACTTCACTCACTTAAAGATTTCTTAAATGCTGGGTTCGAATCCTAAGGCGGAAATGACGTTGTTAAAATTTTTCTTTTCGGAAATAAACGTTTTTAAACTTTGATTTTGATTTTAAAAATTTAAATTTATTTTTTCCTAATATTTTAAACTTGAAAAAACATTAAAAATTTTAATTTAATCATGAATTTTTCAAAATTTCCTCCTGCGGCGCAGCGTTTTCGCCTCCGGCGGTAAAAAAAGAAATCTGGCTATTGGCCTCCCAAATTTTTCAAAATTTTCGCCTGCGGCACAAAAAATGGAAGAAATCTGACTTAAGGACCTCCAAAATTCTCAAAATTTTCGCCTGCGGCGCAGAAAATAAACGAAATAGGAGGATTTATGGCTTCAAAGCCTTGCAACGTTTGTTGTGTGGTTTGTTGTGTCACATGTCCCGTGGGACATGTGAGACTGAGAAAGGGATTAAAAAATATTAAGAGAGATATCTGAGGATTCTGAAGGATTCCTCCTAATCTCTTGGTCTCGACTCTCGGTCTCGACCCGGGACTCGGTCTCGGGGTCGATTCCCGGTCTCGGTCTCGACTCTCGACTCTCGGGTTTTTTTAACTCCCGACCATCACTATTGTAGACAAACCTTTTCTTAATATTTAAAAATAAATAATTTGGATTAAAATAAGTCAGACCTCATTTTTAGATACGCTATTGAAGCCTAAACCCTAACTTATAAGTAGAGCGTGTCATTTTAGGTTTTTACCTATTTTTTTTTGCGATCAGCCCATGATGAGATAAGTCGAAAAAACACTGTTTTAGCGCGGGAGGTTGCGTACTTTTTGAGTTACTAGAGCCTAAAAAACCTAATTCGGCCTTTTCGGACCTAAAACCTATTTCGAGCCTATTTCGACCTTTTTTGGACCTATTTTAGGTTTTTTGGAAAAATCGCCATTTTTGACAAATTTGGCATAGTCCAACAGCGTCCAACAGCGTGAAAAGGTCACGTCCAACAGCGTGACCTTTTTCAACTTTTTTAGGACCTATTTTCAAATTTTTTTGGACCTAAATAGGATCCTATTTCACGGTTTTTTGGACCTAAAATGACACGCTCTACTTATAAGTAGGGTTTCCTTACATAAGGTGTATCACTTAGGTTGTTCCTTTTACCTAGTATCCATTTACAATTTTTAAAAAAAGTACCGTAATGGAGGTGTATCTAGTATCAAGGTTATCTAAAAATGAGTTTCGACCGTAATTTGTTTAATTTTAAAATTTAAATTAATTAAAAAAATTAATTTAGGTTTTCGTTTCACAATATCGTCCCCAAACACAACATAGCCGTTTGCACAGAATTCGCATACTTTGAATATTAGAAGAAAAGTTGGAAAAATGTCAGATCTCGTTTATCTTAATATTTTAAGTTTAGTTAACATTTCTTTGTTTTTTGTGCTGTTTCAAATATTTGCGTGTGTTATTAATACATACTAATTTTTTATTTTAAATATAGTAAACTTAAGTTTCCTAATAAACTCCAAAAGTCTCAACTAAACTTTGGGAAGGTTGAGTAGATAAAAATTTTAGAATTAATTCAAAAAATAATTTAAGTCAAGTAGAAGATGGCTATTCTTGTATAAAAAATTGTCACCCCAATGACGCTATCTGCCTTGGCAATTATACAAGGGAAATTCTCTACCAATTTAGAACTGTCCCGTCAATGAAATTTTTGAAAAAGCCGATTGAGGTAATAAATAAATGAAAAAATTATCAAATGATTTAATAGATATCTCGAATAACAACAAAAATAAATAATATAGTATTTAATATTGAATATATAATTAATGGAGAAAATGCCAAAGATTTTTTTGTTGAACAACAAGGAAATGTTGGTAAGCATTTTTAAAGACATTTTATTAAAATTCAGGTAAGTTTAATAAACCTATGTTTATTTTTACAAACTTAAATTATTAAAAAGCTTTTTACAACCCTAAGTTTATTTACCTAAGTTTCTTCGGACGTAAATTTAAGTGTAATAGTTTGGCTGACTTCGATCCACCAAGTATTCCTCCTCCAAGGAAAATGTCCCGTTGACACCCTGCCCGCTCATTTTTTATTTTCTGCTATATTTATTATGCTCTAATGAAAGGGAGAGTAATGAAATAATAACAATGTGAAAACAAATATTTTTTTCGGAGCACCTCAGTTCAGTCTGGATCAGTTCTAGCTCGAAGAGCTCTTTTTAATGATATATGTATATGTATATTATTTCAAGCAAAAATGCTCAAACTGATCATGGAATTAGGGAAAAGGGGGTCAGTCATTCAGTCAAACCATTATCAATTTACAGACTTGATTTTATTAAAATTAAATTTATTTTCAGAAAATATTTTTTAACAACTTAACTCTTTTCAAGGCATTCTTTACCTTTCAAAACCAATAAAAGGACCTCGAACAGAAAACATACAACTAAACATAAATGTAATGTCGAGAAAAGGAGTTTCTATTGCCCACAACTTGGCATTAATTCAAATTTATGTGTCAAGATGGAATTTTTAAAATGATAAAATTTTGAGTATTTTAATCTTGATTATTTTAAATTTTTTAAAACAATCTTCTAAACTGATTGTTTTCCTCTTTGCTATATTTGTTAGGCTTGAAAGAAATTTCTATGGCTTTACAATCTTTCACAGCAAAACACCTTTAAATTTATTTTTGCAAAAATATGATTATTAAAATTAGTTTTGTTACCCAAAAATATTTGTTAACAATTTCTCTTCTTTTAAGTTAACAATTTCTTCTTGACAACTTAGGACTCAAATTTATTTGTAAAATGGAGTTCTTAAAATAATTTTTGTGTATTTTTATCATGATTATTTTAAGTTTTTCATTAATATTCTAAAATATTTAATTTATCTAAAACAGGATAATTTTAAACATTTCCTAGATAATTATAATCAAGATCAAAATTTTCTCAAGCAAACATAATTTTTAATAATTAGATCAAGACTTTCCCATTCAAGAAATATTGAAAAAAGCCGTTTGAGTAATTAAATATGTATAATTAGTAGAGCCCGGATTTTTATGCAAATGCATATTTTTTTTGCAAACTTTTCATGATGTGTTATGCACAAAAAACACTGTTTCCGCAAGTTTTGAAAACTTTAGAGGGGGTTTCTATTTGCATATAATGCATATTTTTGCATATTCCGGACTTTGTTGCATAATGCATATTTTACTGCATATTTTGAGGTTTTTGGGGAAAATATTGCGAAAATTGCCTAAAATCCTGCCAAAAAGTGAAAATTTAGGAAAAAATTTGTAAAAATTACAAATTTTGTGAAAAAATTTTTGTGTTTATTGGTTTCGCCAGAAAATGGCCCACCCCCATAATGTCTCAGCCCCAAAACGTCGCACCCCAAGATGTCCCGCCACCAAAATGCCTCATCTCAAAATGCCCAACACCGTAAAAATGCTCAATTTGTCGAACTATACATTTAAAATAGGAGAAATCTTAATAAAAAAAATGTATTTTAAATCATTTTGACTAAAAATATGTAAAATTTTTAGGTATAAATGGTATTTTTCATGCATATATGCGTGTATATTTTGGTTTACTTGCATATTTTTGTGCATATTTTGGCAATTTTTTATGCATATTATAGTGCATATTTTGCATTTTTTAATGCATAAAAGTCCGGGCTCTAATAATTAGTATTAAAGGCGCGAAAAGCCCTCTAACTGACAAAACATTTAATATATAATTAATGGAGAGAATGGCAAAGAGAAAAACCGAAAAATTGTTCCGGAAAACTTCCGGAAAATATTAGAAAAATTGTTCCGGAAAAACTTCCGGAAAATATTGAAAAATTGTTACGGAAAACTTCCGGAAAATATTAGAAAAATTGTTCCGGAAAAACTTCCGGAAAATATTGAAAAATTGTTCCGGAAAACTTCCGGAAAATATTAGAAAAATTGTTCCGGAAAAACTTCCGGAAAATATTGAAAAATTGTTACGGAAAACTTCCGGAAAATATTAGAAAAATTGTTCCGGAAAAACTTCCGGAAAATATTGAAAAATTGTTCCGGAAAACTTCCGGAAAATATTAGAAAAATTGTTCCGGAAAAACTTCCGGAAAATATTGAAAAATTGTTCCGGAAAACTTCCGGAAAATATTAGAAAAATTGTTCCGGAAAAACTTCCGGAAAATTTTAGAAAAATTGTTCCGGAAAACTTCCGGAAAATATTGAAAAATTGTACCGGAAAACTTCCGGAAAATGTGGAATCCGGAAAATAGTAAAAAATTGTTCCGGAAAACTTCTGGAAAATGCTAGAAAAGTTGTTTTTTTTATACAAAATACACTTTATAAACAAATCACAAATAATTTTATATTTCAAAAATTCTATGTATCTCCCAACAATTCTTAATTCTTGTACATAAAGTAGGTTTGTCCAAAGTTCATCTTTGCACTAAAATCTGTCCCAGATAAGCTAATTGTTGGATAGAGTCCATTAAAAACATGTGCATTTTTCTTTACCCCTATAATTTTCGAAGTTAAATTTTATACATTTTTGCGGTATTAAAACTAACCAATAAAAGTAGAATTTCTTGTAAAATAAATAAAATGTTTTTTGGTACTTTCATCAAACTGAAGACCACAACCAACTGTGTCACCAGTTGTAAACCCAATTGAATCAAAATTTTTGAACTTGGCGCCACAAGACCAATACGTTCCCTTGTTGGATAATCCATATGATTTGTGGACTTGTCCAACGCCATCATTTGAGTCAAAATTAAAATCCTTAGTTGACAGACCAATTCCTGCAGATCTAAAATGTAAAATTATTGTTAAAAATGAGCAAAATTAATGTTAATAAAATTTAAAATCTCCGAAAATATTTCAATCAAAGAAAAAATTTCAGTTTTCTTAGCGTTTGGATCCTAATAATTACTAAAATTATTTTCAAGTCAAATCTGAAAAACTTCAAATCGACATTCTGAAGGGAACTTCAAACAATTTTTAGGGAATAGTTGGGGAAATAATTGAGTAAATATATTTAAGAAATTTCAAACAATTTCAAACTCACTTGAAGTTTGTAAATTCAACTTCAAAATACATCCCATTTTCTTTTGATAATGGTTTTTCGGCTCCAAAAGTCATCATATTGCTAAAACCTTAAATTAAAAATTTCGGTAAATTTAAACAAATTCTTAAGATACCTTTGATATAAACAGTTGTTCCGTCACCCGTTAAATTAACATTTTTCAAAAATTTGTGAAGATGTAATTTGTTTGTTAATTTGTCCTCTTTTTCTTTCATCAATAACTTCAAAGATTCTTCTATTTTTGAAGCATAATTATGGAGATTTTTGCCACTCTTCTCAATGGCACTTGCTTCTTCTTTAACATTTTTAATATATCCTTGAAGAAGGTTTACAGTCTAAAAAATATTTGAAATTTATTTTAAAATATTATTCTAAACATACCTTCTTGAACTCCGTCTCATCAATACGTTTTTCAGCCATGTTCTTTTAAATTTGTTTTTAAATATAAATATAGGTAATTTAAAATAAAGTTGCAAGGATGCCGATGCCGCTTTATTTGTTTTGGCGTCAATTCATGAATAAGCTCACTTGGATCGCAAATTTTGAACTTCCCAAAGAGGACTACCTCAACTTGGCAGGCTTTTCGCAATAATAAGTCAAAAAAGAAAACAAGGTGTTTTACAGCACGTCTAAAGCCTTGGCCAAATATCAACGGTGTTTATTCCTTAATGAGACTTGACGATCTTCGTGTCAGAAATCCAGAAGATTGTTTATCATCATCATTTAATCCTTCATTTTCACAATCAGTTTCATTACTTTTGTTCATTTCCTCTTTTTGTTGCTTTTATTGTTGTTCTTCCTTTCCTCATTGTTTGACATACAAGTAGACAATAATCGAAGAATAAGTTGTTTAGAAACTGTTCCTGGCCACCTAATATTTAAAAAGAGTTAGTTAATTATCAAGTTTTTTAAGCTTGTAAACTTAAGTTTCTCTCAAAATTTATTTTCAAGTTTAAGTTTGTCTTTCAAGTTCAAACTTGAATATTTTTCAAGTCTGTAAACTTAAGTTTATGTTCAAGTTTATTTTACCGAATCTACCTTTTCTTCAGAGACTGCATCAGAGAAATACATTTCCGACGATTGGACGACAGTTCGTTTGTTGCCATAAAATACTCATCTTGTGAAGACTCATCTTGTGAAGTCCAAATAAAACGAATAAGAAAAAGATTCAGAGCAAGAAGATTGATCTAGAAATTGAACAAGTTTTTGATTTAATCAGCTTACAAACACACCATAACTATCCCAGCTACAAGTAGAATAGAAAGAGCCGTCCTCCTCTTCTTCACAAGATGAAGACACGTCTGCATCGTTTGAACAACTACTTGAATAGTTCTTAGTTGTCCCGTTCTCCTTGTCCTCATATTCACCTAAAAAGTGTTTTAAGTTATCAGTCAGAGGTTTTAAAATCTGTTCCGTACCATAAGAATTGTCGTCCTCCAAATTCACCAAATTGGGCAAGTCTCCACAAGATTTGGTTTGCCGAACAGCAGACAATCTGCGTACATTACTGACAGCTTGCTTCATACGGGGACCTAGACAGGACTGCTTACACTCAAGAGCAGTAGTCTTCTGGATTTCACACACGAAGATCGCCGTCGCATTAAGGAATAAACACTGTTGATAGTTGGCCAATGTTTTTGACGTGTTGTAAAACACCTTGTTTTCTTTTTTGCTTATTATTGCGAGCAGTTTGCTAAGTTGAGGTAGTCCTTATTGGGAAGTTCAAAATGAGCGATCCAATTGAGCATATTTATGGATTGACGTCAAAGCAAATAAACGGCGTTGGCAGACTTGCAGTTAAAGAAGCTTACCTAAACAATTTAATTTAATTAAGCAATAAACAAATGAGAGAATACTTAAAGTTTAAGGTTTTTATAGTATTCCAAAAACTTAAGTCCGTGAAAATGAACAAGCTTAAGTTTGATAGAACAAACTTTAAGTTTGTAGAGTTTGTAAAATGAACTTAAGTTTGTAAAAATACTTTTTAAAACTTAAGTCTGTAAAAATAAACTTTAATTTAAGTTTGTAAAGTTTGTAAAAATACTTTTCAAAACTTAAGTCTGTAAAAATAAACTTTAATTTAAGTTTGTAAAGTTTGTAAAAATACTTTTTAAAACTTAAGTCTGTAAAAATAAACTTTAATTTAAGTTAGTAAAAATACTAAAGTTTGTAAAATTATTTTTAGCTAACTTAAGTTTGTAAAATAAACTTTGTAATAATTTTAATCTTAAAACCAAAAGGAGCTTTCTTTCTAAACATGCAAAGTTGACATAAATTTCAATAAAAAACTAATTTTAAGTAAACTTCGATTTAAATTAGGATAAAGATAAAACCAGACAGAAATGAATATATTATCTATAAACTTAAGTTTGTTGAAAACTGACTTCACAGAACTTAATTTTATTATTTACACATCTCTCTATTAAAACAGAATTATTATTTATTAATTAAGGCATGCTTCCTAGAGATGAATATTTGCTAAAATCCCAACAAATATTTAAGAACATTTTAAAAACAATTAGAGACATATCCAATGCCAGATAAACCTCCTTAAAAGGCGATTTTATTTTATCTTGTGACGTGATTTATATTATAATGAGGAATATTGCTTAGACAGCTCCTTCACATTGTGACCGCAGTTCACATTTACTCATTTAATTCTTACATTTAGTAGGTCTGTCTATGTATTAGATTTCAGCGTGTTCAGCAGCAACAACAACAATTTAATTTTAAACAAAAACAACGAAAAAGGAAACAACAAAAGAATGGCAGAATCTGCCTCGAGTGCCTCCTCCTCTTTAGAAGGAAAAATTGGAACAACAATTGTACAAAGAGCACCAAGCAGTCCAGCAATTTCTGGACGTATTCCAATTCCCCTTCGACCAAATTATCCAAAAGCAAGAGGCCTTGTTGGAGGGGGAATAATTGGTGGAGGTGGAAGCAGAAAATGAACAAATTGGAGAGAAGAGAGATTTGGGAATTATTGTATCCATGTTTTCATGCTGTGGAAAAATTGTTTGGATGGGAGATGGAATTGAACCATCATGGAATGAGCCCAGACCGAAGCACAACCGACTGTGCCACCATCCAACCCGATGCTGGGTTATTTATTTTCATTTATATTCTTTCTGCAAGTGCGGACACAACAGGAATATTTTAAGTTGAATTTTTCTAAATCAACTCTATATTAAAATTATTACTCGTGGGGACTGGGAAGCAATTAAACCTTTGTTTTTTCAATTAATCCTTTATGGCTGAAACGTTGTGCCTAAATTCAAGTGTATTTATTTCTTTACAAATTTACAACAAAAATCACCATCAACTAAAATAACACTTCAAAAAATTTTTTATTTATTGGAACAACAATTGTAACAACAACAATCGTTCTTCCAATTTTGGAATTTATTCAAAAAATAAAGCAAATGAATATTAAACAGTAAAAATAAAGAGAAACATTTGTTCAAGTCTAATAATGAACTTCCTTTTTTCCTTTTGTTTATTCCTCTTGTGCAAGTTTGAGGTGTTTTAACTTTTAATTTTTTTTGTTCTTTGACGTTTTATTTGTTCAATCTTAATCGTCAGATTTTACACATAACTCCTAGAATTGGCGTATCCTGGGATATAATTGAATAATGCTAATGTGGGATCAGCCAACACTAGTTTGCCTCTAGAAATGGCTCTAGTTTCTTTTTGATTAGGGTTGTCGTTACGAAACCGAGCTAGTGAAGAGCCGGGGATTTTTTTGGTTATCCAATGCCAACTAAAATTAAAAAAATGATCTTAAATGAGTGTATGTAATTGGGGTGTACGTAAAATAGAAATTTATATTAAGGCTAATAAATAATAAATAAATAAAAGAATGAATAAAGGCATCATTAATTCCCCATACAACAAGAACTTTTATCAAAATTTATTTAACCAACCGTTTACAACAAAAAGCACCATCAACTAATAAAACTTCAAAAGATTTTTTATTTATTGGATATTCTTCAAATTTTGGAATTTATTCAAAAAATAAAACAAAAAAATTATTAAACAGTAAAAATAAAGAGAAACATTTGTTCAAGTCTAATAACGAGCAACAAATCGTTCCTTTTGTTCATTCTTCTTGTGCAAGTTCAAGGTGTATCCTAAAATTTTCTGATTCATTTAACTCCTTTGTTTAATCACAATTTCATATATTTTACCGCTTCTCCTGTTTAAGGATCATGGTAATAGTTCGGATGAGACCCCCCCCCCTCTTTTTTCCTTTCTAAAATTATTAAAAAATGGTCAGTCAGACTTAAGTTATAGAACTTGTCGAGCTGTGTCGAATGACACAAATTCAACCCCTGGTCTTAACTTTGGGCCGAGATACAGACAAAAGCCCTCCGCAAAGAGAAAGGTTTTGCAAAAGCGTCTCACGACTACAATAGGATTACTTTATGTCATAACTTTGTCAAATCTTGTTCAATTATGTTGATTTTGATGTCATTCGAATCAGCTCGACAAGCTCTTTCGAATCTATTATTTGTTTAATCGAATTTTTATCCCAAAAAATGAGCTTGGTCTACCCTGTTATTTTTCAATTTTCGGGGGTCTGTATCCCGGCCCAAAGTTAAGACCGGGGGTTGTTTTTGGTGTCATTCGACACAGCTCGACGGGTTCTATAATCTGATAACAGACTGACCATTTTTTATTATTTTAAGGATGGAAAAAGGAGGGGGGTCTCATCCGAACTATTACCAGGATCATTGCTAATCCTCGTTTATTCCGATTCATTATCAGAATCCAAATTTTCCAAATATTCTGATTTTTATCATATCTGGATCGGTCTAGCACGTTTCTACATAAGCTAATGATAAATGACTCAAGTTTATTTTTAACTCCTTTCTCCATTCGTGAGACATTAATTCAATTTTTTTCTATTTTTTATCAGTCTCATAATAATATTTCTTAAGTTATTAATTCATTTTAGCCTATTTTTTTTAGCATTTTCTCAATTTGAATTTTTGAGCATTTTCATCTTGTGGAAAATTTTCTGAGGAGGATTCAGAAGAGGAACACGAAAATGAAAAAATTAACAACAAAAATTCACTAAACTTAAATATTTCAACAACTTGTCTACCTTCATCATCTTGGCATACAATAGGCATTGCCCACTCCCTTCTAACCAAAATTCAAAATAAAAATAAAAAATCAACAAAATTTAGAACATTTCCCCTTTTACAACGTCCAATATTTAATAATAAAAATTTTAAAAATGAAGAAGAAAATTGTAAAAGTTTTTCTGGAATTTCGGGGAAAATTTTAAATCCTTCTCTTTCTCCATTCTCGAAAAGTTTTTGTTGTAGTAGTGATAATACTAAATTGTTCTCAAACTCTTTACAACACTCTTTTCATTCAAGACATTCTTCAAATTGTTTATGGAAGAACGTTAAACGAACCAATTTGTAGTAAGCTTTTAAACAATGTTTTTATGTTTGAAGAAGAAATTTTGTTATTACTTACAAGGGTTGGGACCTTCCTTATTTTAAAAACAGAAGAAAAGGCGAAAGGAAACGGAAGAAAATAAAAAAAACGGATGACGGAAGCAGTAGGCCAAAAGAGAGGACATCGGTGAAGGACGGAAGCGGTCGAAATAACGTCCCCGTTTTATACGTATTTATTTGATTAATTACCCTTTGTAATTTTTTTCGGCCTTTTACTGTATGGAGGTGGTTAATTGAGGAAGGTTAATTAATTGAGTATGTTAAACAATACAGGGAAGGCTCCGGTATCGGAAACAAAACTTTGAAATGCCTGTAACCGGAACCAATATTTAGAAAAGATGGTAACAAAACCCCCAATACCTAATACTGATTAAAGTTGTTTCATTTATCCATCAAAAATCATTTTCAATAAACCCCCCCCCCCCTTTAATTATCTTATAATTTTTTAAATAATTTATAGCAACAACAAACTTCCAAAAAATATAAAAATGCTTCAACATTATAGGCTCCAAAAGATTCGGCACATTTTTGGGTTTAAACGGTTTCAAAATAATCTTTTGATAAAATCCAAAATTTATATAAATTCCTTAAGGTGCAAGCATACTACATTTCATTTAAATTCGAATTTGTTGTCCATTTTAAAAGAACAACAACAAAAAGTTAACAAAACAACACAGACATTTGACAACAAAACAATTTATTGGGCTATTGTTGTCTTTGCTGGACTTTCTCTCTTTTTTGGAATTATTTCTTTTTTGTTCAATATTCTATTACTCGTTTGGCAAATATATGTTTTACTCTGAATTTGAACACGTTGCGGGCAAAAAAATTTTTTAGTGATTAAATTAATTCGTTTCATTGTATATTCCAATTTTTGTTTTAATTTTAAATAAAGTATTTAAGTGGATTCTATTCGAAATTATCCAAAAATACTTAGTTTATGAGCTATGGGAAGCTATTTAGGGTTATTTAGAGGGGTAGAAATCTATTATTTTATTAATTCGAGTGGATTCTATTCGAAATTATCCAAAAATACTTAGTTTATGAGCTATGG